CTGTGATGAGTCTGCTCATGAGCCTGTCCAAGGTATTCTCTCTCTTATTGTGCTTTTAATTTCTAGCATTTTTTATTCTTTCTTGTAGTTTCCATCTCTATGCTGAAATTATCCATCTGCTTATACACGTTGCCCACCTTTTCCACTAGAACCTTTAGCATATTAATCATAGTTATTTTAAATTTTCTAATAGTTCCAACATCTGGAACATCTCTAATTTGGTTTTGTTGTTTTGTCTGTTGACAGTATGATTTGTTCTTTTTTTCTTCTTCTTGCTTTTTGTATGTCTCAATTTTTTGTTGAAAACTGGACATCTTATGTAGGACAGGAGAGTATCTATACCTAGACACAGGCACTCCTTGTCTTTTTCTAGGCCTTTAGTGTGGGAGGTTGATCAGTCTAGTTCGGAGTTGAGCTGGGTTTGGCTTTCGTTACTACAACGCTTACCATCAATACACCACAGGCTTCAGATTCCCCTAGCATTACCCTGTGTTTAGTTGGGGCTTGGTTTGCCAGAGGGATTTTCTCCATGCTCGTCGCCTCCCCTAGTAGTAGATTAAATGCTTGCTATATTGGTGATGATGGTGGGAACAGGAGTGGAGAAGGGACATCTCTGTTGTTCTGATCCATATTCATTCTTAGGCACACTGTCTCTGAGTCTTAAGAGTGGGGCCTTCTCAGTGATTCTGCCCCTACCCCAGCTGTAGGAGACCTCGTGGTCTAGATCCAGGACAGTGTCCTACCCCTACACCAACGGTAGTTTTTTTTTTTCTGTTGCCTTTTCCCAGCTGATATGAGCCTTCATCTGTGCCCTAAATGCAAGAGCAGTTGCCCCCCTTCCAGCAGCAGCTTGAGTCTTTTGTTCCACAGGTGAGGTAGGGAGGTCCTAGGCAGGGCTTCACTCCTTTCCCACAGCTGCTGCTGTTCCTCTCCCCCAGGCCTGCACCATGAAGGGGTACATCTCCAGGTTTCTCACCATTCCCCTCTCTCAGGAGCTCCTAGTGAAATTTTTGGAGAAGAATGTGCAAAGGGGTGCAGTTTCCCTTTGTGTCTGAAGCCCCAGGGACTGTGTACTCTCACTGTAGCCCACACTTGATCTTTAGCAGTTTGTTAAAGATTTTAGCTAAAATCTTTTTACTGGCTTATATGACATCTGGTGTCTACCCTCAGTAAGCACGTGCTCACATCTTGTTTGTTCCTGTCTTTCCTTGAATATTAGTTGTTTGCCCTGTGACCTCAGATCTCTATAGGATTTAAGAAAAATTATAATTTTGCAAATTAAATGTGTGTCTTTGTTTGTTTCAAGGGTAGGAGCAGCAATCTTTCAGCTTTCTACATCCTAAGTAAAGGCTGAAATTCACTTATACTTTTTGTACGTATGGTGGTTCTATGATTTTCATCATACATCTTTAACTTGTCAGTCTAACTTCAAAAATTATTTTGTGGGCTGGCCCTGTGGCTGACTGGTTAAGTTCACGTGCTCCACTTTGGTGGCCCAGGGTTCAGATCCTGGGTGCAGACGTGGCACCGCTCGTCACGCTGTGCTGAGGTTGCACCCCACATAGCACAACTAGAGGTGCTCACAACTAGAATCTACAACTATGTACTGGGGGCTTTGGGGAGAAGAAAAAACAAAAAGATTGGCAACAGGTGTTAGCACAGGTGCCAATCTTTAAAAAAAAAATGATTTTGTCATTTCGTGTAGAGTGAAAGCATCTTATTAGTGTGCTTCCGTTTACCCCCAAAGCCTTTTTGCTGTTGTTTTATACATTCTATTTCTACATATGTCATAACCCTCAAAATATTTTTAAGTAGAGTTTTTAGAAGAGATTTAAGTTAGAAAATGTCTTGTATTTGCCAAATATTTATCATTTCTATTGTTCTTCATTCCTTTATGTAAATTCAAATTTCCACCTAGTATGGAAATTTCTATCAAGTTCTTCTGCTTGAAGAACTATCCTTAATGTTTCTCATACTCCAGATCTCCTGGTGATAAATTCTCTTGGCTTTTGTCTAAAATAGTATTTCTGTCTCATTTTTTGAAAGATATTTTCTGGATATAGAATCCTAGGTTGACTTTTTTTTTCAGAACTTTAAACATGCCACTCCATTATCTTTCACTTGTATAGTTTTTGATGAGAAGTTTGCTGTTGGCTTTGTCTTTCTTCTTCTACATGTTATTCATTTTTCTGGCAGCCCTCCCCCCACCCCCGGCTGTATTGATGATTTTCTGCTATTTGATTAGGATGTGTCTTGGTGTGGTTTTCCTCATATTTCTTCTGCGTAAGATTTGTGGAGATTCTAGGAACTGTGGGTTTATAAGTTTTCATCAAATTTGGAAAATTGGCTATTATTTCTCTGAATTCTTTTTTTTTCTGTTCAACCCACCCTTTTCCGGAATTCCACTACATGCATGTTAGTCTGCTTGATAGTGTCCCGCAGCTCTGTATGTTTTCTTCTCAGTTCTTTTTTCTCTGTTTCATTTGGTTTCTATTGCTGTGTTCTTGAATATGTTCTTTTGCTGTTTTATAAACTTTAAGAAGTTCACTGATCTTTTCTTCTGCAATGTCTTATCTACTGTCGATCTCATTTGGTGTATTTTTCATTTCTGATGTTGTATTTTCCATCTCCAGAAGTTCAGTTTAGGTATTTTTTTGTATCTTCAATTTTCTTTCTTGTCACGTTTGTGTTTTCCTCTACCTTCTTGAATCTAGGGAGTGTAATGGTTGTTTTAACGTCTTTGCCTTCTCATTCTACCATCTGTGTTGTTCCTGGATCTGTTGCTTTGATTGGCTTTTCTCCTGGTTATAGCTTGCATTTTCCTGCTTCTTTGAATACCTGTTAATGTTTTTTGGATGCCTGACATTGTAAATTTTCTGCTGTGTGCTGGATTTTGTAGGATTCCTTTGTTCTTTGTTTTGTAGGGCTTTGTTCTAGTACGCAGTTAAGTTACTTCAAATTAGTTTGATCCTATCGAGGCTTTCTTCTGAGCTTTATTAGAGAGTCGGAGCAGCTTTTAGTTTGGGGACGATTTATCCCTATTACTGAGGCAGTCAGTACCTTTCTGAGGACAGTACTCATTGCCCCATGGATTAGGTCTTCTTCACTCTGGCTGATTGGAACTTGAACTCTTCCAGCCCTATATGAGCTCTGGAGATTGTTCCACCTACTCCTTTCCAGTGGTCCTTTTCCGTGGCCTCAGATAGTTTTCTCCCCGTGCGTGCTTAGGTAAGTGTTCAACCCAAGACTCAAGGGAACCCCTAGTGAACTCCAGCACTGTCTCTATAGGCCTCTACTTTCCAATATTTTGCTCCACCTGGTAGATTCCAGCTACCTTGGCCTCCCTGAACTCTCAGCCGTTTTGCAACAGAGGCAGACTGCTAGGCTCTGTTTGGGTTACCTCTTCCTGCGCTGCAGTGTGAAAACTCTAGGCACTAAGCTCGGACAGTTATAGGAGTCCTCTCAGTAGTCACTGTCCTCCTCTGCATGTTGTGCAATAGCTGAAAATCATCGTTCCATATATTTTGTCTGATTTTCTAGTTATTTAAGGTGGGACAGTAAATCTACTATGTGTTACTCCATCACAGTTAGAAGTAGAAGTCTCTCCTTCCAGTTTAGCAAACTGATTTCCTTTCTTCATTCTTGGTGGTCTTGCTGTAGTAGTTAGTAGGCACAAGGTACTACTCTCATATCCTACATGCCTTCCCACCCAGGAATGTTGGAGTGGATAATGATAAAACCTTTAGTGAGCTAATACGGATCAAATGGCTGTTTGCCACACAGAGTGAAACCGAGAAGCCTTCTGCAGCTTTTCTGGGCTGTAGGGTAGAAGTGATTGTTGGACTTGTACATCAGAACTCTTTGCTGCTGCCTCTTTTTGCTAGCATAATACCTGCAGCCCGCCAAACCCACCTTTTACTGATATCACCAGGAAGTAAATCAGTGAACTGATTAACTTGCCAGTCAAAGTGGATCTGCAGTGAGCTCATCTGCAAGTCTTAGCTTATATTTTTTTCTGTGTCTTCTGACCTGCTTCTCTGGTTGTCATAGCATGAGATTTTATTTTGGAAGAGATTGTAGGGGAAAGGGGAGTTTAGTCAAGTGGCTGAGGATTCTAGAAGGCTAGTCTTGGTATAGCTAGATTTAAGCACTGCCTGTGGTTTTAGAAACTTTAAAAGATACTGTGTGAACTAGAATAATGCCATAATTTGGAATGAGATTTTGTAGTTTACGAGGTGCTTTCACATAAGGTATTTTACTAATCCCTATTATAACCTTGCAGTGAGGTAGAATATCCTCAGGTTACAGATGATAAACTGAGGCTCAGAGAGGTTAAGTAAGGGTGGGCCTGGCATTAGAGCCTAGGCCTTCTGAGTCCTTACCCACCTCCTTTTCTGCTGTGTACCATCTACCACTTCACAGTTTTGCCATCTGAGCAGATGGGAAGCTTGTATGCCACTAGTACCTAATATCCTGAAGTATTTGGCAGCCTGCTTAGGTCAGAATTACTTGTCCACTTTCACTGCTATACTTACTTACTCCTTCTGTTTGATGATTTTCTGAATATATTCCTCAAATAAGTTTCTTGTGACTTTGGTCTTAGGAGCTTCTTAAATGTTTTTTCAGCTTGTTTTTACATGTCTTCAAGTTTTTGCTTTTATGCTTGTTAGCATTCTGAATTTTGACTGCACAAATATTTCTTTTCTCCTTTTTCTCCCGTTCCTCTTTTTTCACAGAAGATTTTAGATTTTGTTTTGCTTTTGACCTAATTTAGAGCTTAAATTCTGAGATGACCAGGTTTCATCTGTAGCCAGTTAACCTGCCTGAAGAGAAGCTGTTTGACAGTTTTGACATTTGTTTATCATCTTCCTAATCTTCATAATGTGAATTATGTCCACATTTTGTGAATGTGAGCTGTTTTCTTTCGATACATTTTTTTCTTTTTTTTACAACTCAGCAGGCCACATTTTATTAGTTTCATTCCATAAATATTCGTTTAGTGTCTACTAGGTAAAAGAAGAGTGACCACCTCTACCTCAGGCTTACAGAAAGCTTTCCAGAGAAACTTCTGCTCGACTGGGATCTTAAAGAAGGGCATTGCTGGCCAAGGGAATGGCATGGGAAAGGCCTGGAGTCATGAAGAAGGATAATGCACTCAGAGGACTCGGGTTCTGTTTGGCGGGAGCATTGGGAATAAGGAAGAAAAGAGTAGAAGACGGCAACTGCGTAGGCAGGCAGAGACTAAATCAGGACAATGCCTTTTCATACTGCAAACTTAAATTTTACCCTGTGAGAATGAAATGTTGGAAGGTATAAAATGAGGAAATTGCTTCATCAGATTTTTTCATATAAGATTATCGCTCTGGCAGCCGTGGAGAAGATAAATAGAACGCTGGAAAAGTGATAATCATAATCAGAGAGCTAGTTAAGGAGTTATTGCAGTATTGCAAGTGAGGATCAGTGAGGGTCCAGGACAGCCCTTTTCGAATGGTTATTGGAAGGATGGAGGAAGATGTTAAAGAAGTAGAATGCACGCTATTAATGCAATATGAGTAAGAGGAAGGGTGGTCTAGTTTAGCTCTCATGTTTTCCACTTGGGGGATTGTAGAGGAAGAACAGGTTTCCCACCGAAGTCCACTTCGGGGTGGCCGAGGGAAGCTAAATAATCATTTATTGTGACATATTGCATTTAATGCCTGTTGCACACCCGGGTAGAAGCATCCAGTGGGCAGTTGGATATATGGGTCTGGAGCTCACAAGAAAATAGTGCTGCAATTAAGCAAAGATCCTCGTAATTTAAGCGAGTGGTCTCTTAAGTGATGTGTGCAAACACCCTGTTGGGGATTCTACAGTGAAAATATTTGAATTTATATTTACTTTCTATTTCATCCTTTCAAATTTTCTATTTTTGTATGTTTTATAATGTATAAAACATTTTAGAACAGTAATACATATGCATAATGTATAAATAAGTATGTATGAGAATGTGCTCAAGATATTTTTGGAGGTTAGTAATTTAAACTGATTGGGAACTAGTGGTCACTTCTGAGCATTGCCTTCACCATAATAACCTGAATTTTTTTTAAAAAAATACATGTTTCTGGACACTATCTCCAGAGACTCTGATTTACTAAGTGTGTAGGAAGAAACCTGAAAAATCCATCTTTTAATTTAATTCCTCCAATGATTCTGATAATCAGCCAAGTCTGATTACAGGGTAAAACCATGGAAAACACATATAGAAAGAGAAGATAAGGAGATAAGATAGATAGGTTTGAATGACACTGCTAATTCTAATAGTTCCAAATATGTTAATTCATATTCTCTTGATTTTTAATAATCTCATAGAATGGCCATAGTCAGTATTGAATTGTCTCCACTAAGCTAAAATTAACATTAAAAATTCGAAAGTCTATTTTAATGTTATATGTTCTATTTTGGGCACAGGTTTCTCTCTCATACGTACACAGATTACATGGAACATTTTTTGACTAGCCGAGAGAGAACTTTTTTCCTAAGCATGTAAAATTCTGCCTTGCCTGGATCCACCAAAATATTAAACTTGGAAGGCTAAGGACAAAAATGGCCTATGATTTAAAGCCTGTTCTCCATTTCAAAATGAAGACATTGCCCACATCTAAAATCTTCCTTCTGTGAATCAAAATTTGAGAAAAAGATGACAACGTAATGTGAATGCCTGAAAGGATCACGTAATAAAAACTTTTGAGGACTGTTACGGGCTGAATTATGTCCCCCTGCAAACTCATATGTTAAAACCCTTACCACCAGCATCTCAGAATGGGATGGTATTTGGAGACAGGGCCTTTAAAGAGGTGATTATCAAGTTGAAAGGAGGCCATTAGGCTGGGCCCTAATCCTCTCTGACTGGTGTTATGTAAAGAGGAAATGTGGACACACACAGGGACACCAGGGATGCGCACACAGAGAAAAGACCACGTGAGGCCATAGTGAGAAGGCTGCCAAGTGCAAGCCAAGGAGAGAGGCCTCAGAAGAAACAAAACCCACTGACACCTTAATCTTGGACTTCCAGCCTCCAGAACTGTGGGAAAATAAGTTTCTCTTGTTTAAAACCACCCAGAATGTGGTATTTTGTTATGGCAGCCCTAGCAAACTGATACCAGGACAATAAACCACTTATTCAACTTTACAGTTAGACTGATGAAGAACTGAGAAATATGTACAGGTTTTTAACCCTTATGGCCTTGTTTTTTGAATCAAAAGAAGCAAACAGTACTTACAGTATAATTGTATTGTCCAGAGTTTCTCACCTCTGTGAAATTGATTTAAACTTGGTAAATGGTAGATATTATTGACAGCAACTCTTGCCTCAATGTAATTTAGTATTCTTAGTGTAATTATTACTTTGAAATGTGATCCCAGGTATATTTTGAGGTCTATATATTTTGTAAGATAGAATTTTGTGTGATTGCTAACTACTGACCCAATTTTGCAATTATAACATTGTAACCAAGCTAAATGAAGATCAGAATACATGATTAATTACTTTTGTTGTACATCATTCCTCCAGATTATAGTTCCTGTCTAGTGAATGAGCAGGTGTTCAGGTATTCAGATGGAAAGTAATATTTTGATAACTAGTTCCTAATTTACTGCCTTTCATTCCATTTGCCAATTAAACATTATTATTTTTATACGTATTCTGTTTTTATTTTATGAGCCAGCTTGTGAAAACTGTCAGGTTTATTGTTTTTAATTGATTTTATTATGAAATATCTCAAGTATGTACAGAAGTCTAGATGACATAACCAATAATCAGTACTTTCCCTCACTTAGCTTAAGAAATTAAACATTACAAATATAATCAAAATCTCTTCTTTGACTCCACTCATTCCCCTTTCTTCAATCCAAAAGTAACCACTCTCCTAAACTTGCTGTTTATTCCCATGCATTGTTTAGATTATTAGGTTATGATTCACACTGGCTTTTTTTTTTTTTTTAAAGATTGACACCTGAGCTAACATCAGTTGCCATTTTTTTTTTTTCGTCCTTCTTCTCCCCATAGCCCCACAGTACATAGTTATATATTCTAGTTGTGGGTCCCTCTGGTTTTGCTATGTGGGACCCTGCCTCAACACGGCCCGATGAGCAGTACCATGTCTGCACCCTGGATCCGAACCGGTGAGATCCCGGGCCGCCAAAGCAGAGCGTGTGAACACTTGGCTGTGGGGTGGCCCCCTTTTTTTTCTTTTTTAACTTGATATAAGTAGTGCTGCCCTGTTTCTCTCCTTCTGCAGTTGGCTTTCTGGTTCATGTTAGGTTTTCGAGATGTGTCTGCTGACACGTGTAGCTCCAGCTATCTTTCCACTGTGTGTAGTAGTAGTCCATTGTATGCATGTACTACAGTTTGTCGTCGTCTTTGGACACTTAGGTTGTTTACCATTTTTTTGCTATTATAAAGAGTACTGTAGTAAAAATTTTTAAATATGTCTCCTTCTGTAAATGTGCCAGATTTTCTCTAGAGTATGTATCTAGAAATAGAAGTGTTTCAAATTTCATCTCTTTCTCTGATTACCAGTGAATCTGAGTGTATTTCATGGTCTAGGTTTACTGACTATTTGGATTTCCCCTTCTGTGAAAATCTTGTTATATCAGTTAAGAGTCCAATCAGGAGACAGAAACTGCACAGCAATTTCAACAGAGAAAGAGTAACATAAAAAATTATTAACAAAGAAATGAAGTTCAGGGCAAAAAGAACTCTACGAAGAATACAGAAATAGCAGATACAGGTAGCAGCCACCACCCCCAGGACTGAGACAGAGCACTCAAGGAGGATGTCGTTTCCTCGCAGGGCTGAGAGTCTGACCTTGTTGAAGAGTGTGGCAGTGGTCACTGAGGTGCTGCCCTGTGGAACTTCTGGAAACCTGCCCCCTGGAGTGCTGAGGAACCTTCCACAGGCAGGTGCCTGGCCTGGGAACACACCTCGGCTGCCTGAAAGCGGGTGGGAGAAGTAGTCCAAGGTCGTGTGCTGGGGGAAGCTGCCCATGGGAAGGTGGCACTGCTGAGAAATACACTGCACACCCTGCCAGAGCCCAAAGAGGGAAGTGCCCTGGACAGAGAACCTTCCTCCTCCATTATACACGGTGGTTAGAAATAGTTGCACAATACGTTAGGCACAGAATGATGCAAATAGGCCTCTGTGGGGCTGATCTGGGACCCTAGCCACCATTTATGGTATTCATTCTGTGAAAAGTACGTTCAGAATTCCCAGATAGTAAGTTTACGACAAACCTTAAGAATGAATGATGAAGTATTTTGCTTAATCTTCCACCTCTTTCTTTTCCATCCTCCTTATCTCCTAGCTCCTTCTCCTTTTCTCGTGTCTTCTGCTTTTCTTATATCTAATCCTTGCTTATTTCTTCTTCCCCTGAATACCAGTACCCCACCATTCCTCTTGGCCCTTACTCTGTGACTTCCTACTTTAAGTCCTGGGTGGTCAGATTGTTCTGTAAGTTTCTAGTGCAGTGAATTATAGGCATGCCTTGGACCCCAAGTGAGTAAAGCACTAGGGGCATAGCTGAGTCTGAGGAAGGTCAAGATTGCCTCTCTGCACATACCACAGCCCTGTGAAAGTCTGTCTTGGGTTCCTGTCTGCAGTCTGTTGTGTGACAGGTGGGTCCAGATCTCACCATTCTATAACTACAAAGTGAAGTGACATCGTAAGTAGATACCTGTGTAAGATCATATCAGTTAGCCTGAGATTCTGCTACATATGATAGAAAGCCCAAATAGCAGTGGTTTAAACACAAAAGGGTGTATTTTTCTCCACCTAAAAGAAGTGTAGATGTCTAGAGTTCAGGGCTATGTGGCAGCTCCACTGAAACCAGGGACAGAGCCTCCTTCTGTTACTCTGCTTTCTTTCCTTTGTAAGAGAGCTGCAGGAGCTGGAGACACGTGGCAGAGATGAGGGGGAAAGATTAGAGCTTTACCACCAGTGACCCTGCTGTATCCCCTACCCAAAGTCAGTAGTCTTTTAATTGAGCATATTGCTGCCCTCAATAAATTTGTATTCTGTTATGAGGAATGGGAGGAGGATAGATAGAGGATGGGCATCTTGCAGTTTCTTCCAAAATATGTGATCTTTATTTTTTCTGAATGCATTAGCATTCTCCAGAGAATAAAAGAGATTATAAGGAATTGGCTCATGCAATTCTGGAGGCTGGCAAGTCCAAAATCTGCAGAGGTGAAGTCCCAGGTCAAGTTCCAAGGCCAGCAGGCCTTTGTTAGAAGTAGAGAGAGCCAGTGTCTGTTCAAAGGTCATCAGACAGGAAGAACTTAATGTTCCAGTCTGAAGGCTGTCAGACAGCATTCCCTCTTATTCGAGGGTGGGTCAACCTTTTGTTCTATTCAGACCTTCAACTGAATGAATGAGGCCCACCCACATTCTGGAGGATGGAGAGCAATCTGCTTTACTCAGTCTCCTGATTTAAATGTTAATCTCATCCAAAAAAACACCCTCACAGAAACACCCAGAGTGTTTGACCAAATATCTCCATACCCTGTGGCCCAGTAAAGTTGATACATAAGCTTCACATCACAATGAATGTAAGACTAAAACATGTATTGTAAACATGCCAAACATTATAGATATTTGTAATGTGGAAATAGAACGTTCCTTATGTTCTCACCTCCCAGAGGTATCTGTTAATAACATCGTAATGTATTTTTCTCCACTTACTTTCAGTACATAAACCAATATATGTATTTTACAAAAACAGAACTATACTATTTATACATATATATGCACATGCACGAATATGTATACATGTAGTGCTATGATTCAATCTTTTCATTTTTATTCTAGACATTATTCCATGTAAGTACAGACCTACTTATTCTGAACATTATTTCACTATCAGTGTATTATCTATTCATCCATATTTTAATTTATTTAATGAATGTTTTTAATACCTACTATGTGCCAGGCAACATTTATATATCCAGTCCTCTATTGATAGAAATTTAGATCATTTTGTTGGTTTTTATTCTTTTGTTTTCTGTTGTAACGATGCTGAGGTAAACATCTTTGTACTACATTTTTAGACATTTTTGCAGGAGTTTCTATAGAGTATATGTCTAGAATTGCTCTCTACAAAGATAGCAGTGTTTGGTTTTAAAAGATGGTGCTAGCCCAGAGTTTCTCAACCTGCGCACTGTTGACATTTAGGGCCAGATAATTCGTTGTTGCTGGGCGGGAAGGGTGGGACTGGAGGAGCCGTTCTGAGCATTACAGGATGTTTAGCGTCATCCCTGGCCTAGATGCCAGTAGCAGCACTACCACTCCCCAGTTGTGACAATCAAAATTGTCTTCAGACATTGCCACATGTCCCCTGGGGGGCAAAATCGTTCTGAGCTGAGAACCACTACACCAGCCCTTCTCTCTTTTCCTCCTCCCATAAAATAGGGACAGCCTGGCATGTGGTGTCAGAGCCCAAGTTGAGTGAAGAGGTGTCCACATGAGAAGCAGACTAGTCTAGGGTATTGGAGGCCGGGTGGAGTGAGGAGAGCCACAAGGGATGATGGCTTATTGTGGGATGTCAGAGCTCAAGCTGGGGAGAGTTCTTCATTTATGTGACGGAAAGCACATTTAGAGTGGTTCTCCAGCCTTGGAGCTTGGTCTCTGGAGATTCATTACTGACTTGATGATTTAATATCTATTACAGCATACAATTAGGGATTTGTTGGCTGATGTCGCTATATTATTTAGAATTGTTTTAATGGTAGAAGTAGCTAGGCCAAGAACATAACTCACAGCTCTCTGATGCTCACCTGCTAACATCCGGCAAGTACTTTAAATGATCCCATCTTTGTAACTGACTCTTACAAACATAATACTGAGCCAAAGAAGGCAAATAAAAGAGTGCGTGTTACATGATTCTGTTGTATAAGTTATTAAAAAGCAAAGCTAGTCTGTGGTGCTAGAGGTTAGAATTATATTCACACCTGGTGAGGGGTGAGGAGTAACACCTGGAAGGGAGATGCAAGAAGGGGGCTTCTGAAGTGCTGATAATGTTCTCTTTCTTGAGTTGAGTGTCATTAACATGTAAAAAGCCATAGAGCTGTGTGCTTATGATTTGTGTACTTTTCTGTATGTGTGTCATCCTTTCACAAAATGTTTGCCCCAAAATATCCCCTGTTCTTTTATTCTTAGAACATAGGCAGACTCTTTCCTCTGAATCAGATAGTTTTGAGAAAATAGAATGTTAATGGCTGACAGACCCTGCAGCATAAACCAACTACACAGACTGGCAAGTACCACTCAAGCTGAGGAAGGTCCAGTTAGGAACACTAATGTGCTGAATTGAACATGTGCTGAATAGGTGAACTGAACACTAAAGTGCTCGTATCCCAAACTTGCCAGCCAGGGGGTAATGCTGCATGAATGCTTGTTCAGCAACATTCAGCATACCTTTGTTGAAATCATACTTTATGCCAGGTACTCCTATCTTGTAGATTCTAGAGACACATGAGCACATAGTGCCTATATCCAAGGATCCCATAGAAGTGAGGAAGACTAACCAGTTAAAATACAGTAAGATAAACACTGATAGATGTGCACAGAATTAATTCAAGGGCATCACAGAGGAGAGAAGATGACGAAGGACTTAAGTATAAAGGCTAAGTAAAGCGAAAGGGGAAGAGCATCCTAAATAGAAGGTGCAGCACATGCAGGATACAGAAGTAAGAGTCAGTGCCACACCTTCAGGGAACTGTCCTCATTGACATGGAAAGCACAGGGACCATCAGCATTATCTTATGTAACCCCAGACCCTACCCTACTACCTGTTTCATGGTGGATATTCAGGTATTAGATGAATAAATACCTAGAGTAACATCAGGTAGTCCAAGGAAAGATCATAAAGAGTTTGTAAGCCATCCTAAGAAGCTCAGAGTTTATCTGGAAGACAGGAGCCATAAAAGAATTTCAGTATTGCACTGGATTGAAACATGATTTGTGGCATTTTAGAAAGGTTTTCTGGCAACTCTATGAAAGATGGATTGAGTTTTTAAAGAGGAGAGAGTAAGTTAGGGGAATCCGTGTGTGTGTATGTTTGTCCATCAGCTTACACATACACATATGCTTGTGAGTAGGCATTTGGTAGTGGTGGTCAGAGTGTCATAGAGTTAAAGCTAGGGATACTACGTTTAGATAGGATGTTTTTGAAATAAAACAAGAAGTGATAAGAGTGTGAACTAAGGCATTGACTGCAGACCTGATGAGTCAGGGATGAATTTGAGGGTGATTTAGGAGAAACAATAAACAGTACTTAGCATGTGTTCAGTTACAGTTGTAAGAAGCAAGTGAGGAGGAGGTATCATGGCTGACTCCCAGATTTTTCTCTTGGGTTACCAGCTGAATACTGTCAGCACACCATTCACTATGATAGGGAATACAGGTAGAGTGACAGATTTGTGTTCTGTTTTGTTTTGTTTTTTCCAGAAACTTAGTGTGTTCCATGACTTTTTGTGATTCTAGTAACTGTTGATCTAGCTACTAAGAGATGTTTAGTTGGCAGTTGAATATTTGGATCTAGAGTTCAAGACAGAGGCCTGAACCAGAACACTGCAGTACTTGACAGCATTACTGGTGGAATTTAGGGCTTAGGTAAAGCAAAGTAACATTGGATGACAACTATAATTTAAAAAATAGTAAAAAATAAAAATAAGTAAAGCTTAGATAAAGCTTCCAAAACATCTATCCAAAGAATACATATTTAGATTTATTAGGCTCAAGAGAGGAAAAGATTTGGGAGTGCAGATGTGTGCTATAAACTTGCTTTACTCGTTCTAACTCTGCTTTTTATTTCCATGATTTTTATGGGCAGACATGGTTGGCTCTGGTTTCTAAGTCTCATAATAGACTGGCAATATAAAGTTTCCCAGATTATTTATTTTAAAATTAGCAATACCACTAAATGGCCTGTGTTTCTTGGGGAGAGAGTTAAAAAGAGACTTTTCCTATTTGAGAACATAGGTTGCATTGTGTATTAGAAAGAGCTTGAATGAACTTTGAAGTCAAATTCTGGTTGGAATCTTGCTTCTCACATTACTTAGCTATGTGCCTTTAGGCAAGTTACTTAGTTCACTAAGACTCAGCTTACTCATTTGTAAAACTGGGATAATTATAGCTGTCTTTTAAGCTTACTGTTAAGATTAAATGAGATGAGCTTTTGGGTCTGGAGGATAATGGCAACTGTCCAAATCTAAATCTCCACATGTCCTCCCCAAAAGCCATAAGACCAAAAAGGACCGCATACACACATATATACCGTACATAACTCACACCTTCACCATTACTACAAGAGAGACAGCGCTACAAATGTTAAGTTATTTGCATGTGAAGAAAGAGCAAGTTACAAGAGCTCCTGTTGCTGCTACAAACCTCTGAGTCTGGAGAAGAGGGCAAGGAGAGGCTTAAGAGACCATGAAAAAAGGGGCGATCATAGGTTAAAATGAAGCACAAAGTCACCCTCAGAAAGAAAACGTCCCCACGCAACTGGCAAAATACAAACACAGGCCTAGGACTTAGTATTTCATAGCACTAGCTAGAGGGAAGGCATGTGAAAGTTAGAGGGATGGGAAGTAGCAGCATCAGAGAAACATTGCTCCTGGGAGAGAAGAGAGAAAGAAAGGTGTCCTTGGGAGCCACGGCAATGAGAGGGAAGAAGGAAGAAAGAAAATTAGGAGTCCTCGAGAAAAGAAAGAGAAACAAGGCACACCAGTCCAATCTCCACCCACCACCACTCATCCCCACCACCACCACCACCACTATAACATTATCCATTTAAGGAGCTGCTTTTACTAATATGAAGAAGCAGACACTCTTGAACTAAGACCTCTATCCATAAAATGCTTGGGAATAGAATTAAATAAGATACCGTACAAGGCTGCTTTAAGAGGAATACAGAAAATGTGATTCAGTACATTTCCGCTAATAAAAATTCTCCCCCCAAAAGCAAACACAAAACAAAGAGAAACTGTATTGTAATACTCCAACTGAATAAAATGTCCTCAAATAAACTTGTGGACATCCTAATAGGGACATTGATGTAAAGAAGCAAAATGACCAAAATAATGAAAACGAGATGCAGAAGGAAGTAAAAACCTTCAGAGAGAAAGTGGTTGAAATGGAATACAGGCAAAGGAAGACTGAACATACTTATATTGGAGACCCTGAAGAAGAAACAGAAATCAATGGAACAGAACTAATTATTAACCATAATCCAAGGGAACTTTCCGAAATAAGAAAATAACTGAAATCTCCATATTAAAGGGCCCACCTTGGACAAACTGATCCAGAACAATGAACTCTGAGTCATGAACTATTCAATTTTAAAGACTAGTAAACATTAGATTTTAATGACAATTTTTTTTCTGGAACTCCTGGTGGGGAGGGAATCACATTACTAATTAAAAAACTTAGGCTCATGTCACGCTTCTCAAGAACAATACAAAGGAAGGCTACAATAAGGCAGCATTTTTAAAAACTCAGGGAAACAAAATTCAAGCTAGCCAACCTGTCCTTCCAGTGTGAGGGCTATAGATAAACAGCTTTGAACATGAAAGAAACTAGGAAATAGTTATAATTTAGTTGTAGCTCCAAGACTAAAACAGTGGTGGAGACATGGATATAATTGTTACTTGTTCTGACAAAGTAGAAAGAACAAAACTAAAACTGAGTGAGTGGAGAGAGAAGGAGAAATAAAATAAGATCATTCCCTGTTGTATAAGTAGTAAGGCGGAGTTAGAGACACCACTGCACATGGGCGGGCCAGGTGGTTAGGTGAATAAGCAAAAGAGATGTAGGGCGTTCTCAGATACACTCACATACACGTGTGCTCATCTGCCTCTAATGCCAAAGTGATTCTGACATGTAACATTTAATACAAGTAAAGTTATATACTGTGAAAAATTAGCTACTATGGCTTGAAGTCTGAAATTGAAAATTTTAAACGATTCTGTTGGGTCGTGAAAGTCTGTTTTTGCCACAGCAGTAGCAAAATATAAAATTGTCGTTACTATGTCTCTTTCTGGGAGGTGGATCTTAAAATGTGTAATTCTGTGATTTCTCTTTTCAGAGGCCGATAAAATACCAGTAATGCGTGGACAGTGGTTTATTGATGGTACTTGGCAGCCTCTGGAAGAAGAAGAAAGTAATTTAATTGAGCAAGAACATCTCAGCTGTTTTAGAGGTCAGCAGATGCAGGAAACTTTTGATATTGAAGTGTCAAAATCCATAGATGGAAAAGATGGTAAGACCAATTAATACGTTTAATATGTTCTGTAAACCAAGTAAGTTGTTGATAAAGGTTAGAATAGTTCCTAAATTTGACACACTAATTCAGGAGGGTTAGAATTTATAAAATTTTCTGATTTTAAACATTTGCTTATTATTTTAGAATTTAAAAGTGCTGTGAATTTCTGAACTATCTTAATTTTATTTTACTTAATATGTATGTTCGCTGGCATGACACTAACATGATTTCCTATAAATGTACAAATTATCATGTACTGTCTGAATTAGTCCTTTTAATAGTTTTTTAATTATCAAAGAAAATTGAACTTACAAAAAATCTCGTCATTATATCAAAAGAGCAGTTTTGTTAATATTTTAATGCTGATTCTTTTCCTGAAATTTAAAACAACTTTAATTTCCTTTGTGTAAGTACCTCTTAGCTATCTCCATATTGGTAACCATATCAGTTTTTTAATTTGAAACAATCTCCTTATATTTCCTTATTCAGCATTTGGATACTTTGCAGTAGTTTAAAATATCTGTGTAATAGCCAGGATTGCCATGTTTTGTTATGTCTGATCTTGAGTAAAATTCAAATTGTGTGGTAAAGTTAAAAATACTTCTGTTGTTCCATTTACTGCAGGCAGTGGGATCAGCTATTCTGGTGAGTATATAAGTACAGGTGGATTAGAATTTGTAGATTTCTGTAAAGTTTTTTTCCTAAAAGCACTTATTCATCTATGTTTGCTTTTATTTCTTGGCAAGCCCTTGGTTTTTTGGCAAGCCCTACTGAATCTAGTGAATCAAACTGCAAATTGATTTTTCCTCTTCCCTTGTAAAACATCTCTAGAGCAGAAAAACTCAGTATTGATCAAGTAATTCACAGAATGTAGCTTGGAAAACATGAGTTACATGGTTGGAAGTAATTGTTTGTATAACGTAATGTCAAAACAATAAGCTTTGGCTTTTTTTTTTTTTTTTTTATTGTTAGTGATATCCAAGTCTTTTCTCTCTCCTACTCTTTGCTCTCTTTTATCTCTCTCCAAACATAGACACACACACACATCACAAGCAAGGAAACTGTATGGTTTAGCTTATACCAAATTAAAATATCTTTTGTATCTAGTTGATTAAAAGTCTGCATAACTGAGGAAAGTTATGGCTTCTGAATAAATTGGCAATTAAATCTAACAACTATATGGTAATAGTTGTCTATTGTGTGCCAGATGTCATACGCTAGAAATTTTAAATATCTCATTTTTCTCTTCTGTAGAGTCACATCTGTCCTTATTTCACTGTAAAATTCATGCTCGAGATTCTTACATGTCAGTGTAGAAAGAAGCTCCGGGTCTGCAGGGCAGAGCTGTGTCCATATTCCTGCAGACTACCATGGAGACAGCACTTTGGTTACAGCACAAATAGCAAATTTTACATATCTGTAATCTTCTGTCAGTGACTAAAGTATTTTGTAACCTCTCATCACCACTAACAAAATAATCACAAAAGCCTACTTCATAGTGTTTAAAGGACTGAACCTTTTCTCATACTTTCATTGCTGTTGGAGAAGGCCAAATTCTGAATTTTTTTCTTTCTGTTAATTCTCCTTAAGTCTTGTCTCAAAAGTGCGAGTTCACCTTAACAACCCAGGTTACCACCCAAATTCTTTACTGTTAATGTATGAAAAACCCGAGAGCTTAGAGATAAAAAAAAGGATGAGTATGAAAAATAAAAATGTAAGTAGATTGTTCTTTCTCTTACTGTATTGAAACGGTTTTCCCACTTGCTCATTCATCCTGTGGAGGCCAGTCCTGAGCTCTGTCTCGTCTCTAGATCCCATCTACTTGGAGTCTTGTTTCTGTTACAATAAAAGTTAGAATTTCTTGTGTCCTCCTCACTACTTTTCCCTAAGGAAACATTAAAAGTAGCAGAATATTTCAGTTTTCTTCACAGTGCCCTGATTGTATGAGCCAGTCGTTTAAAAATAAGTCTGATAAAAGAACATGGTTTATTTGTATGAGTAAATTTTCAGTATGTCTTTGAGTGTGTGTGTTGATTCTAGAGCATCAATCTGGGATAATATAGTAAATTTTTTTTGCTAGCTTTAAGGATATACATTGAGTGGTAAAATTCAAATTAGAAATAACAGGAAATTGGTAAACTTTTAAAACACTTTTGCATCATCTTTCAAAATGATGATTCTTTGAGGTTTGTTACAAGAAAAATTGATTTTTTCAAATATGCTGTGGCGTATAGGTGAAACATGAGCATGTTTTGTTATGAACAAAGGTTATAAGTTTGATTCAGTACATATTCTCTTGTCATAAATTTCCAGCCGTTTTATTTGTTATTCAGTATTATGTAAAAGATTTATGTGCTAAGATGTGACATTTGACTTTGAAGATTATGGGAAATTTTATAGTACCTTTGAAAATTATCACTGGTCTTAAGGAAAGAACATTTGCTGTCCAAAAAGCCACCATTGTTGGAAAAATAACTCAAATTTACCACAGCTACAAAGATAAAAAATATTATAATCTTTTATTTTGCTTCTTACCTCCAAGTTTCTGGAATTCCATATTTCATTAATTTGAGGGGGGAAAAATATGCCTTTTCCACCCAGATTTTCTCATGTACATATAATAAAGCCTTGGCTCTTCATATTGTCAGGAAATTTTGAATGCTTCTGTGTGCAGATAGTGCTGTGTTAGGCACTCGTGTGAAGAAGATAAGACATGGTTTTTGACCCTCGAGCAGTTGTAAACCTCTTGGGGAAGCAGAGCCTAGAGATGAGAAGAGTTAGAGAGGAAGTCCAGATAACACAGTGACTATCACACATTCTGAGAAGAGATTTGCAGTAGAGAGAGGTGATCACACTGCGCTGGAGGTACTCCAATGAAGCTCTCTGGAAGAATCCATTTAAAAACTAAAAACATTAAAAAATATTATATTCAGGAACTCTTATTAAGTGCTCTAGGAGAATTTCTAAGAAATTAAATAGAGTTCTAGCCTTGAAGGACGTTAAAATAAAATACTAATTCCTTTTCTTCCTGACCTTATCTGTGTTTTAGTTAGGGTAGCTGAGCCACAAATTAATTAGATATATGTAGAATTTTCTCATTAATTTTCCTACTAATCTCAAAGTAGCCTTGTATTAAATAGATTGATGAAATTTAACATAGCTTTTTTTAGCATACAGATAAAGATAACCCCAAAAAATGCAGTCGCTTTTTGTCATTTAGATACTTTAATCTAAATTTCGTTTTCTCTGAAAGTTAAAATAAAACTTGATTCTCTTCCCACCACACCACCTAGGCTAGGAAACATTTATCTAGCAGCCTAACAAATGAAAGCCTAGAGTTTCACTGGGGATGAATTATACGGATAAAATCAGACCTTCAAATAAGTAATTTTGTAAATACTTAAGCCTTGTAGTAGATTAGCATTTCATCATTTTATAATGTATATATCAAAGTGATCATCAGTAAAAAACAGATGAACGAAGTAGGTTAGTCCTGCACCTCAGTCTGGCCAAAAAATGCATAACCTCAATTCAATTGTGAGAAAATGTCACATAAACTCAAATTGAGGGACATTGTACAAAATAAGTGACCAATACTCTTCATAAGTGTCAAGGCCATAATTAAGTAGATGGGGGCATCCTTTCACAATGTCTAAGTATATCAAATCACCACGGTGTACACTTCAAATATCTTATAATTTTATTTGTCATATTTATCAATTGTACCTAAATAAAGCTGAAACTTTTTTTAAATTGTCAAGGTCATGAAAGACAGGGAAAGACTGAGGAATTTTTCACAGTTTAGAGGAGACTAGGGAAACATGATAGTAAAATGCAACATGGCACCCTGGATTGGATCATAGAACAGCAAAGGACGTTAGTAGAAAAACTGGAGGAATCTGAATAAAGTCCGTATTTTAGCTGATAGCATTGTACCAATGTTAATTTTTTTGTTTTGTTAATTGTACTATAGTTATGCTAACATTAGGGGAAGCTAGGTGAAGGTTATATGGTAACTCTCTGTACTATTTTTGTAACTTTTCTGTAAATCTAAACTTATTAAACAATGAAAATTTTTTTCTTAAAGGCCATAGAGGGACTGGTCCCGTGGCTTAGTGGTTAAGTTCATGCGCTCCACTTTGGTGGCCTGGGTTCACACGTTTGGATCCTAGGCACAGACGTATGCACTGCTTATCAAGCCATGCTGTGGCAGCGTTCCACGTAGAGAGTGGAGGAGGATGGCACAGATGTTAGGTCAGCGACAATCCTCCTCAAGCAAAAAGAGGAGGGTTGGCAGCAGATGTTAGCTTAGGGCCAATCTTCCTCACCAAAAAAAGAAGGAAAAAAGGCCATAGAGGAATTAAAATAAAATAGTAAAAGATATTTAATTAACCCAAAAGAAACCAGGAAAAGAGAAACCAGAAACAAAGATACCGATGGAACAAAGAGAAAATGAATGGCAAACAGTAGACCTAAATTCACCCATATCAGTAACTTCAGTAAATGTAAGTGTACTAAGATTCCAATTAAAAGACAGAGATTGACAGATTTGTTAGGAATCCAAGGTCCAACTATATGCTGCCTTAAGAGTCACACTATCAATATAAAGTCACAGATAGGTTGAAAGTTAAAAAAACAGACTTTTTACTGTTCAGCTAATTTGGGATGTTACAACAGCACAACTATTGATGGATCTGTAAGAATTTATAGCATTTAACAATTTGGTGTCTAAAATGGATAAGGATATCCTAAACTGTGAATATAGAATTTCAGAAGTCAAAATGCTACGAAGAGGTAAGGAGTGCTAACTCTTTCCAACCAGCTTTCCTTTTCCTCTCTCTTTGGTGACTAAGAGGATTCCCACCTTCTAGCTTTTAGTCATTATTTAACTTTTACAAGTGGGCCTAACTAAATTTCCTGAGATCCAAACAGGTTACCAGTTTTCTCCTAGTTGGCAGGTTTGAGATGTGCAAGCCTCCTTCCTCTGAAGTTGAGGTGATCTGAGTTGCCAGCATTTTTAATAAACGGAAAGGTTACTGAGTTGGTACATCCTAGGGATTGGTATGTTGTCAGCAACCCCCTTTCTTGATACTCTGTTGCTTTCAGAATTATGTAATGAAGAAAACTACTTTGAGATGAATTATAGTAAGGAAATTAATTGGAAATATTTTAGTACTTTAAATCTTTTTCATTGCTTTGTAAGACTTTACTATATAAAAGAATTTTTATTAAATCTTAGCATTTAATAGTTAGCATTTTCAATTGTATTTTGAGTTTTTGCATACTGTTGCTAAAACTACTTAAGAATTCCTAAGTAAATCTTTCTTTTAGAAAAGGAAAAAATTAAGTAACGCTTTCTGGCACTTAAATTTCTCTTCGCTGTGATCGCTGTTTGGGTTGATGGTAAACCTCTTTGTCTCTGCAGTGCTGCGGTGGTCCCCCTAATTCTGTGCTCTGGGTTGATAAAAGATAAAGCTAACTATGCTACAAGGTGTTGTAACAAATAAAGCAAATGACTTTCAAGTGAAAATAAGAATTATATTTGAGAAGAAGGTTAAGAATTGTGTCTATTTAATTTTGTGAAAATGTTTTAAATAAATATGCTTCTCTGTTTTTGGTATAATGAGGTGTTTGTCTTTTTTTAATTCTTAAATTACCCTATTCCTTTAGAAAGAATAGCTTTCTGAAAGTGCATAATTTTAAAGTGTGGTCAGATAGTCCATATGTTTCCTGTTAGTTCTCTTTTAGTGAATGTGGAATTGGTTCATGTTGTTTTACTAGTGGATTTATAAAATCAGGTTTTGTTTCTTTAAATAGTAGAGTCACACATATATGCCAGTTCGATCTCCTTGCGTGTTAGCTTTTTCCTAGTAAAGTTTTTGTTTGAAAACGTCTCCTGCGAGTGGTGCATCTGCTTTCTCCTCACTGACTGATGGGAAGGCACAGGAAAGAGGAGACATTTTCAGTGAAGAAGTGGCTTCACTTGTCCTTTTCCACCCTTGCGACAGTGAAATGTTCTATAATCCTTATGTTACAACCCAGCTTTTAATCCCACTCTAGTTTTTTGCAGCCATCTAATTAGTATATATAGTTATAAAGTGCCTTGTAAGCATTTCTCAATTTCCTTTATTGCACAAATCTTTAAATATACCTCATCTGTATATACAACAGATTTTTAAAATATTTCTAGTAATAACAAAACTTAAATATTTTCATATTTGAGCAGTGTTTAACCTTTGAAGGCCACATTAATGTAGAAGGGAGTGAAGGTAAAAATCAAATGTGTTAGAACATAAATTTGAACTAAATCATAGATTCTGAAGTTCATTACCTGAACTGTTAAGAAACTGATTTGTAAGCTTCAATTTCAAGTGGATTTTTAAATAATTGCTTATTTAGAACATAAAGAAATTTATTGATATGTAACTAGCAATATTTGACAGGGAAAATGTTGATTTTAAGGTTATCTACTGATTTGCCAAATATCAAGTCTGTGTCTGGCTTTCCTCTATGTTGGCTGTTTCATGCTTACAGGATGTCACAGCATACATTTTTACTAATGATTTTTTTTCATCATTCTATCACTAATAAATCTTTCATTATTTTATCATTTATAAATCAGTTAAAAGTAGAGCTTCCAATTTGGGTGAGTTTTTTTTTTTTTTTGGAAAAGTTTCATTTTTAAAAATCTTCAACAGCTTGAACAGAGTTGTGGAAAGAGTTTTTGTTTCTTTGGGAAGGCTCCATTATACTTCAGTAATGGAGAGCATCCAGTGAAATGTATACTGTGGTATCTTTTCAACAAAGCTGCATTAAATGTTTAAAATGTTATTTTTTACATTCTCAGTTTGCACATTGGCTGTTGGCTATGTCATAGTTACAAATTTGGTGAAAGTAAATAACCTTAGTATTGTAAAGATGAGATTTGTAAGTCTCTTCGCATACAAAAATGCCATGTTGTATTTTTTATTCTGTCTGTGTAAAGACATTAAAAATGGTGCTCACATAGTTGTCTTCAACTGATAAATTTAGATATCATTTGTTTTTTTCCTTTCAGTAGAAGTAGAGCATATATTTGATAAACATTAAACTAATGTTTTGCTTCACTGATTTTTAAGTAGAAATTATATAAATAAAGCCTTTAGAATAATGTTTGTCAAATACAACTCATTTTTCAAAGTTAATTCAACAAAAAGGCAAAATAGCAAACCTCATTTAAAATTTACTTTGAAGCTCAGTGTTTTTGCTTTCTTAGTTGTCTACCACCTCCCTCCCTTCTCCCTCCCTTCTCTGTTCAAATGGAGAGGATATAAGGAGAGTACAGATGCGGCAGGTCTTAAGCGAAAGCGTTCCCAAGGTACAGTAATTGTAGTTTTATTTCTCCATGTAGTTATGTTCCTGGCTTAGAGCATTGAGTTGTATTTAGAGCATAGAAATTAGTAGTTATTTAGAAACGTATCATTATGCTGTTTTGCTTAGTGTTACTTAATTATAAGAGATATAAGCATCCGTAAACGATGTGTATAGTCCACTAATGGAATGTTGCCAATATTAAGATGTTTTACCTTAAGACAGTATGTGGATGATTTAAGGAGGAATGAAATTTTGTTGACTTAACACTATTTTCTTAATATCTTGGTCTTCTAGTTTCAATGTTTTAAGCATATGATGCTCAAAATAGTTTTAGCAAAAATGTAGTTTAGAAACAGTAGATAAAAAGGGTTAAAGTAGTGACTTTGATCAGCCATAGAATTAGAAAAGTAAATTGTTAAACTCTTGCAAAAGACTTTTTTTAATTTTTGAAAAGTTCTTTTATTTAAAAAGCTGAGTTTGTGCATTGTATTCTTTGGAACTGAAGATATTATTGTTTGTTACATTAATTGTATTTGGTCTTGTGTTCAGTGTTGGTAATGTGTCCTGGCAGGTAAGTAAAATATAAATTGGTTTTTCATTAAATTTTGAAATTGCATTTGTAATAGAACTAAGAAGTACATTTTCCTGGAAAAGATCTACTTTTCTGTATATTCCAGAGGTAATAGGTTTTCATAAAAATGTCCTATGATCTTAGATCTTGATCAGGGCTGTGTCCTTTCACATTTAGCTTGAGGTTATTTTCAACATGTCTTCAGAACAGAAGAGTTAGACTACCTGTAACCAGTTATTAATCTCTTTGTACCTCCGTGTCTTTACATATAAATCGGAGATAATACTTTGCTTCAAAAGGATTTTAAAAAAATAAATTAGGCTTAGTGATTTGAGGGTGCCTGGTTGTCTGTGATTTGAAGGTGCCTGGTTGCCTGCAGATGGGTATGTGAGTTTTTCTTACCTTTGTACCAGAGATATAGAGGAAAAGTTTAAGTCATTCAGATATAAGTATTATCAGATTACGAATTTGGTGGACCTGCTATGACAATTTTCTTAATCCATTGCTTCCAGAAACATTACTGAACTTATGATACGTGCCAGGTGCTGTACTGGGACTGTGTTTGTTTCTAATGATTCAGAATGATTACAACATAGTCCCTGCCTCACGGAGCTTATATATTTCTGGAGCATGTAGGTTTGATTTTTTTTTTTTAAGAGCTCATTTTCACCAAGCGTAGCTCAGTTAGAGAAATGCAATAATCATATTGATTTGAACATCATAGTAGAAAAAAATTTCGATTTCTTACTAAAACATCTTTCAACTTTGGATTTCTGTTGTGGTGAGCAATACCCAGGGATAATTGGCCTTAATATCCATTCCAAAAATACCTTACGTTCTAATAAATTAGATTATTCTCTTCCCAGTTTAAGGGTAAATTTTTTTTTCCTCCGAGTCTTGTTTTGTCTTGCATGGAGTGAAATTGTCACAGATCCAAAAATAAAATCAATAGAAGAAATGGAACTTAAGTTTCTTTGTCAAAGCTCTTGAGGACTTTCATGAAGGTATATATCCCTTAGACCTAAGGAATGGTCACACCACCTGGGAAAGCAGTTCTTTAATAATTGAAACATATTAACTACATGTTAGAGTTTAAAATTATGGTAGTTAAACCAGATTTTCCATATTGTTCTAACAAGTTGCCCTTCTCTGTAGCAGGTTTAGTCATTTATAAAATAAAGTGCCTGGTCTATTACTTGATTCACATCAGTATGCATTTCAGTGAAGTATGTTTTTATTCAACTGATTTCAAATATTGATTCAAAAATCTGTGTATTACTGATTTTTCACACAAACGAAGTTTCTATTGGAGACCTTCAAATTACTTTTTCCTTTTTGCAACAGCCATTCACAGTTTCAAGTTGAGTCGAAACCATGTGGACTGGCACAGTGTGGATGAAGTGTATCTTTATAGTGATGCAACAACATCTAAAATAGCAAGAACAGTTACCCAAAAACTGGGATTTTCTAAAGGTAATTGTTATAAATATTAGTATAGTTTGTCAAATTTGGGGAAATCTTACTATTCTATTCAAAATAGACTATTCAAATTCTGTTTTTAGTATATTTTAAATATGTATTAACTTTAGTGACAGTTACTCCCCTGTTAAACGAAACTTTTATTCAGATAAAAGAGTTGAAATGTATTCATCAATAAATAATTATATCTTTAGAATGGTCAGACAAGATTAATAAATATCTTTTATACTTCTGAAAGCACAAAAGCAGTCAAAACTGAGGCAGTGATTTGAAAATAAAACATGGCAATTGAAACATGGTGTCAGGAAAGATGAAGACTGAAAATTCTCTGTTGGATTTAGCGAAATGGAGGTCATTGGTGACTTAGATGGATTGATGGGGTGGAGGCCAGATTGGCGTAGTATGAAGTATAAGTAGAAGGTGAAGAAATGGAGGCAGTGAGAATAGTCAACTCTTTAAAGAAGTTTGACTTAAAGAAAAGAGGGAAAAGAAGAAAAGAGGGAATTTATTTTGAAAAAATAAATTTTTTAAAAAATTTTTGTCTCATGTAACTGTTTTACTATCCCATTTTTTAAATTTCTTTGATAACAGATGTGCTTGAATATCTTTTTATATATTCATTAGTCTGTTGTATTAGTTTTATTAATTACCTTATCATATCTTTAGCCCATTTTGCTATTTGAATGACTGTCTTTTCACTTTTTGATTAGTAAACTCTCTTTCTATACTTAGGTAATTAACTTATTGTGCATCATATTTTTCAAAACTTCTCCCAGTTTGTCATTCATCTTTTATCTTTGCTTCATGGTATTGTCTTTATAGAAAAGTTTCTAATTTTTGTGTTCAGTTTGTTCTCCCTCCTGTCCTTTTCTTTCTCCTTATGGTTTCTGGTTTTGGTGTCATGTCCACTTCAGCACTTTATATCAGAGCCAGTCAATATACGTCATCCTAGAAATCCTATCCCGTACACCCTGGTGAAATTTTTTCAAAATACTTCTTTTATTTATTTCTTGTAATATGTAGTGAAAATGCTATTTCTGTAATTAGTAGTAAACTTAGAATCATAATTTTTCTACAGCGTCAAGTAGTGGGACCAGACTTCATAGAGGTTATGTAGAAGAAGCAACATTAGAAGACAAGCCATCACAGACTACCCATATTGTGTTTGTTGTGCATGGTATTGGGCAGAAAATGGACCAAGGAAGAATTATCAAAAATACAGCCATGTGAGTTCTTTGATGAATACATTCTCCATCTAGTCTGCAATCTACACTTTTGTCCAGGGTATAATAGAGTTTAATCATCCTACCACATGTTTCTCCAATGTCAACTATTCTGCTGTCTCTTAAGTTGTAGATGAAGTTTCTGGACCAAATTTTGAGAGTGATTCTGTCTAGATAATGATATTTGTTTGATTTTTTTCCCTCCACAACACGGAGAAGAGGAGGGATAAGAAAGTCTTTTTAACTTAATATATTGTTAATTTACTAATTAAACTGATTAAAGCAAGAAAAAGGTATAGTTTTAAGTTTGTATCTTACTCTCTGAACTGCAGAAACTGAGAATACTGCAAAGTTGCACAATTCTGAAAAAGCTAAGAATTCTTTAAGTTGTTAGCAGCTTAGCTTTTCCAATTAATTACTACCAGAGGAATCTGAGCTCTACATTTTACACAGAAAAGCCAGTTTATACTTTATAGAAAAGTCTGATCAGATTTATGATGTGTGAGAACAAATCAGTTGTTGGTGAGAGCATAGTGTATTTGGTTCTGAGACTTCAAATAAATGTATTTCTTGAGTCCTTATAAAACAAATACTTTGTAATATCAGGAACAGTATCCTCAGCAACATCTCTATAATAATACAGTGTTGAGTGTTATTTCACTATTTATTCTAACACCTCTTAATACCAGCTGACGGATTAAAGCAGAGTACAGTTCAACTTAAAAAAAAAAAACTGTCAGATACTTCCTCAACAAAATACCAGCAAACTGAATCCAGCAACATGTAAAGAGGTTCATAGAGCATGACCAGGTGGGATTTATCTCAGGAATGCAAGGTTGGTTCAACATTTAAAAACTCAGTCAAGGAGGGGCTGGCCCAGTGGCTGACTGGTTAAGTTCTGCATGCTCTGCTTCAGCAGCCTGGGGTCTGTGGGTTCAGATCCCAGGTGTAGACCTGCTCCACTCATTGGCCATGCTGTGGAGGCATCCCATGTACAAACTAGGGGAAGATTGGCACAGATGTTATTTCAGGACACATCTTCCTCACCAAAAAAAAAAGTCAAGGGTAATACACCACATTAATAGTACAAAGGAAAAAAACCATGTCATGTGGTTTTTGATGCAGAAAAGGCATTTGACAAAATCTAATACCCTTTCATGATGAAAATACTCAGGAAACTAAAAATAGAAGGGATTTTCCTTAACCTGATAAAGGGCATCTACCAGTTCACAGCTAAAATTATACTTTATCAATGAAAGACTGAAAGCTTTCCTCCAAGATTGAGAACACAATAAGGTTGTACCCTCCCACCAATTCTATTCAACATGGTACTGTAAGTTTCAGCCAGGACAATTAGACAAGAAAAAGAAATAAAAGACATCCAGATTAGAAGGGAAGAAATAAAACCATCTCTGTTTGCAGATAACGTGATCTTATATATAGAAAATCCTAAAAGAGTTCACACACACAAACACACAAACTATTAGGGCTAATAAATGACCTCCCCAAAGTTACAGGATACAAGATCAATGTATAAATATCAGTTGTATTTATACACTAGCAATGAACAATCTGAAAGTTAAATTAAGAAAGAATTTCCACTTACTATAGTAACAAAAGGAATAAAATCGTTAGGAATGAGTTGAACAAAAGAAGTTCAAGATTTGTACACTGAAAACTACAGTATACCATTGAAAGAAATTAAAGAAGACCTAAATAAATGGAAAAGGCAACCAATGTTCCTGCATTAAAAGATTTAATGTCGTTAAGTGGGCAGTACTTCCCAAATTAATCTGTAAATTCACCACAATCCATATTAGAATCCCACCTGTCTTTTTTGCAGAAATTGACAAGCTGATTCTAAAATTCACGTGGAAATGTAAGGGACCCAGAATAGTCACAACAATCTTGAAAAAGATTGATGGAGAAAAAGAAAGATGGAGGGCTTACACTTGAATTTCGTAACTTGCTACAAAGCTAAAGTAATTAAGACGTTGTGCTGCTGGCTGGGATAAAGATAGACACAGATGAATGGAATAGAATTGAGAATTCAACTGATTTTCAACAAGGGTGCCAAAACAATTTAATGAGGAAAGAATAGCCTTTAAAAAAATGATGCTGGGATACCTGGATATCCACATGCAAAAGGATGAAGTTAAACCACTACCTCACACTGCATACAAAAATTACAGTGAATCAAAGACCTAAATATAAGAGTGAAACTATAAAACTCTTAAAACGTAGGAGTAAATCTTTGTGGCCTCAAATTGGGTAATGGTTTCTGAGATATGACATCAAAAATAGAAGCCACAAAAGAAAAAACAGATTTATAAGACTTTGTCAAAATTTAAAACTTATGTTCTTCAAAGGACACTATCAAGAAAATTGAAGACAACTCACAGAATGGAAGTAAATATTTGCAAAGCATATATCTAATAAGGGTCTAGCATCTAGGATATATAAAGGACTCTTACAATTCAACAATAAGAAAAGAACATAGTTTTTAAAGTGGGTAAAGGATTTGAATAAACATTTGTCCAAATAAAACATATAGTTGGCCTGTAAGCACATGAAAACATGCTCAATATCATTAGTCATTGGGGAGATGCAATTCAAAACCACAGAGAGATACCACTTCATACCCACTAGGATGAGTCTTATCAAAAAGATAGAAAATAACAAGTGTTAGCAAGAATGTGGAAAAATTAGGACCTTATATGTTGCTGATGGGATTGTAAAATAGTACAGCTGCTTTTAAAATAGTTTGGCATTTCCTCCAAAGGTTTAAACATAGAGTTAGCATATGAGCCAGCAGTTCTACTGCTAGGTGTATACCCAAGAGAATTGAAAACATAGATCTACACAAAAACTCTTTAAAGAATATGCAGCCTTTATTCATAATAGCCCCCCAAAATGGAAAGAATCCAAATGTCTGTCAGCTGATGATGAATGGATAAACAAAAGTGGTATGTTTGTGCAATGGAATATTATTCAACCATAAAAAGCAGTGAAGTACTGATTGATGATACAACATGGATGAACCTTGAAATATTATGCTAAATGAAAGAATCCAGACCCGAAATGCCACATATTGTGTGATTCCTATCCAGAATAGGCAAATCCATAGAGACAGAAAGTAGGTTCATGGTTGCCAGATCCTGGGGGGAGGAAGTGTGGGGAGTGACTGCTGTGGGTATAGTGTTTCTTTTAGGGGTGATGAAAGTGTTCTGAAATTAGATAGTGGTGATGGTTGTACAGCTCTGAATATACTAAAAGCCACTGAATTGTTTAAAAAAAAAATAATGAGGTTGTGTCAAAAGGACACATAAACCAACTTGAAGAGATTCGCTGACCAAAAAAGGAGACAATTTGAACATCTGTAAGGATAATAACTACCGTGGATTGAAACGCTTCACATACGTTTAAATCTATGAGTTAGTAATGTCAAAAAATATAAAACTAACATCTCAGTATTTTGAAAATTATTAATAAAAGGAAAGAACCATTTATCATACCTTTTCTCAGTTCATACAGAAATAATTTGGTGGTACCACAGGCAGCCAAATATTTGATGTGAGGAAATTTCTCTTTTTGGAGGCATAAGGAGTGATGGAATTTAAAAAGCACCTTTTTGCAACCATGATAAATTAATGGATCTAAGCAATGATCATCATAACTGCTAGCATCACCAAAAAGATGAAACCCAGATGTACGTACCTGTGGAGCAGTAGTCTTACCAAAACAATAGAACTTGAGTCTGATCAAGCCCCTATATGTCACTACCAAATTGCAGGAAATGGGAGACAAAGAACATATTAAATAACACCGCAGAAATGCAGTCTTTAAAAATCAGACTCTGAAAAACTCTACAGTACAAAAACCGAAAGAAATTACAAGGCAAAAAAAAAAAGAGGAAGCTGTAGATTAAAAGCCACTTAAGAAACATATCTACCAATTACCATGCACGAACTGTATTTGGACCACAGTTCAACACATGTAAAGACTTTTTAATATTACCACACATTAATATTATATAAAAGTTATATATTATAGTCTGGGAAAATGCACCACTGAACTACGTATTTGCTGAAACTAAGGAATTACTAAATTTTTTTGTATGATAATAGTACTGAATAGGTTATGTTTTCCTTCCATTTTAGAAGTATGTACTAAAGTATTTACAGATGAAATGACGTGATGTCTGAGATTTGCTTTAAAATATTATGGCAGAAGAGTGCTACTATAAAGCAGTAGTGTGAGGGGGTTTTTGGGGGATGCTGGAACTGTATCTTGATTGTGGTGGTGCTAACCATGAATCTATACAATTGACACCAGAAGGGAATAAAGTCAACTTTGGTATATCTTAGTTTTAAAAATAAAATTTTAAAATCCATGTTATGGGGAGAACAAGTAGGGGAATAGATGAAAGAGACAGACCATGGCTTGCTACTGTTTGGAGCTGGGTGATGGCACAGGGGCGCTCATTATACTGTTCTCTCCACTGAACATTGACGCCTATAATTATTTAGCATATGATGTGAAAGCTTGGAATATTGGAAATCATAGCAAATTTAGGAAAGTAACTTTGAAATAAAGGTGCCCAAAATGTGGCAAATTATTGCATGATGTAGCAGTAATTGAAACATAATTCGACAAAGTTATAAGCAAATGGAAGTGTTATGATGAAAGACATTTTATACCATTTAAATACATATGTGGAGTTACTCTGATAAAGTTTTTTTCTGTTAATTTTATTTTATTTTTTTTTAGGATGAGAGAGGCTGCAAGAAAAATAGAAGAAAGGCATTTTTCTAACCATGCAACACATGTTGAATTTCTGCCTGTTGAGTGGCGGTCAAAGCTTACTCTTGACGGAGGTACATTTTGTTTAAAAATTAAATGATTTAGCCAGTAGCAAAGAATTGTTGTTCACTGAGGACAAAGGGTCTTTAATCTAGTTGTCTTGAGGTATACTCACTCTTTGTTTTAGATTATTTGAGAAAATAAAATCCATTGATTTTTAAAATAATTATATTGACGTGTCATTTTGGACCACCATCTAGATTTCACAGCACAGTTTTCATGCATGCCCTCTGGATTAGGAGAGCAGTGGGGCATGTGGAGGAAACAAAATGTTTTCTAAACTTTTTAACATGAAAGTAACTTGTCGAAGTTACTTTTGTTGTCCATAATTCCATAAGACCTTACATTTTCTTCCTAATAATTTTCCTCCACTACTTTTAGAAGATACAATCTCAGGTTTTTGTTTTCTTCTGTTGTTCCTGCGATCCCTCAGCTGGTGAATTACAATCTAGCATAGAGAAATTGTACAGTATATTTGTTTAAATAAAATCATTTTTGTTTCCCTCCTTAAAGAGCTGTTAGCCAAAATGTATATATACATCTTTCTCTACTCAAAGTTGTATCCTTTGAATGTTAAAACCATTGAAATAGAATATTTAGATTGATTATTTACATAATCTGGCAAATGGGTAGGTTGTGGTGGCCATAATCGCAGCTCTCATTTGTGAGCTTTACTGTGTGCCTGGCTTACTACAGTTCATTTTACATGGATTACCTCAGTTAATTTTCTCACAATCTGTGAAATATCTATTTTATTTTCCCTGTTTTACTGCTAAGGAAACAAGCTCAGTAGAAGGTGAATTTGAGAATGGCAGGCAGAATTTGGGTCTGAGTAATGACAGAACCCTTTTCATCACAGTGCTAACCTGCCTACCTGGATGATTTCCAAGGATTCTTCTGAATCAGTTAGGAATGTCAGTTATAGCTTATAAACCAAAATGGCATCAAAAGTTGTAATGAGTTAAGAAAAAATGCCAGTGGCCCAAGAGCCAGCAACAACTCATGTGTGAAGTTCTAGTGTAATAACGCTATCTTTCAGGCTTTTCCCATTCACCCAGATAAATTTCTTAGACTGCTCAGGAGTGTAGACAACATGGATGAAGCACCCTTTAATAAAACCCATGAGTGTGTACTTTTCTGTTAGGTTTAAACTACTGTGATAGAATCTGAAAGGCATTATGCTGAGTGAAAGCAGCTAAAGGAAAAATACCACTCTCTGTTCTTAACACCTCTGACACCAGACGTGGGGGGGATTTTCCCCACACCAACCAATTCTTCAATTGTTGGTGGCTACCAACTTAGTGGCCTACAGCCTCGCTCAGTTCCTACACCATCTGCCCAGAGAGAGTGCAGACACCTTAGGGGCTCAGTCTCACAAGACTACCCCCCACTTCAGGTGCCAATAACAAGTCCAGATTGTCACCTGTGTCTCTGACCGACCAGCTGTAAATTGGGGGCTGGGGGTGGGAAATAACATGACCCCATTTTGAGATTCAGTAATTTAGTAGAATGACTCACAAAATTCAGGGAAGCATTTACTTACATTTACTGGTTTAAAGGATATTACAAAGATGTAACAGAACAGCTAGATGAAGTGTTACGTAGGTCAAGTTATGGGGAACAGGTGGAGAGATTTCATGTCCTCTTCCAGTACATTACCCGTCCACTACCTCCACGTGTTCACCAACCCGGAAGTTCTCCAAACCCTGTTGTGTAGGGTTTTTATGGAGGTCCCATTATGTAAGCATAATTGACTAAATCATTGACCATTGGTGACTGAGCTCAGTCTCCAGCCCCTCTCCCCTTCCCAGAGGTCAGGGAATGGGGCAGAAAATTCAACCTTCTAATCACATGGTTGGTTCCTCTGGCAACCAGCCCCCATCCTCCAAGAGTCACCTCATTAACATAAACTTAAGTGTGGTTGAGAGGGGCTTATTATGAATAATAAAATACATTCCTCTCACTCCTATCACTCATGAAATTTCAAGTTTTAGGAACCCTGTTCCAGGAACCAGGGACAAAGACCAAAGATATGTTTCTTGTATCACAATATCACAGTAGCCAATCTGAAAGCTTACATAATTTAGGCTTCCCTTATGTAACATCCTGGAAAAGCCAAAACTGTCAGGACAGAACAGATTAGGGGTTGCCAGAGTTTAGGGGAAGGAGAGGGTTCAAATTCAAAAGGGCAACATGTGGGGATTTTTTAGGGTAATGAGACAGTTCTGTATCCTGATCATGGTGGTAGGTATGCAAAACTATAATGCATTAAAACTGAGAGTCATTTTACTGTTTGTAAATTTTAAAATAATGATAAAAGGTTACCTACAGCAAACGTCATTGCACTCATTGGTATTAAAAGACTAAAACATTTCTTTCAAAGCAGGAACGAGCTAAGGATGTCCACTTTTACAACAAATATTCTACCTGAAGTCTTAGCCAGTGCAGTAAGATAAGAAAAAGAAATAATGGTTTTAAGGAATGGAAAAGATCTGTTTTTATTTGCAGGTTATATGATTGTCTGCACAGAATATACACAAGAATCTATAGAAAAATTATTAGAATAAGACAGTTTATCAAGGTTGTGAAATAGAAAATCTGTGTATGAAAATAATTACGTTTCTGTATACCAGCACAGTTAGAAATAGCACAGGGGCCGGCCCGGTGGCCAAGTGGTTAAGTTTGCACACTCTGCTTCAGCGCCCCAGGGTTTTGCTGGTTCGGACCCTGGGCGGGGACATGGCACCGCTTGTCAGGCCATGCTGAGGCGGTGTCCCACATGCCACAACTAGAAGGACCCATAGCTAAAATACACAACTACATACTGGGAGGATTTGGGGAGAAAAAGCAGAAGTAAAAACAGAAGATTGGTGGGGCTGGCCCTGTGGCCGAGTGGTTAAGTTCACGCGCTCCGCTGCAGGCGGCCCAGTGTTTCATTAGTTCAAATCCTGGGCGCGGACATGGCACTGCTCATCAGACCACGCTGAGGCAGCGTCCCACATGCCACAACTGGAAGAACCCACAACGAAGAATACACAACTATGTACCGGGGGGGCTTTGGGGAGAAAAAGGAAAAAATAAAATCTTTAAAAAAAAAACAAACAGAAGATTGGTAACAGTTGTTAGCTCGGGTGCCAACCTTTAAAAAAAAAAAAAAAAAGAAATAGCATAAAAAATAAGGTTCCTAGAAATGAATCTAATAAAATATGTATATTTATATTAAAAACGAAAAAACCATTAGAAGATATTAAATACAACTTAAATGCGAAGATCAATAATTTTCTTAGGTTGGGTGATTCAATATCTCAGAGATGTAGTTCTCCCAAATTGATCTATAATTCCCTGCGATTCCAATCAAAATCCTAATAGAGCTTTTCATGAAACTTGGCAAGCTGATTCTGACATTATTATAGAAGAGCAAAGGCCCAAAAACAGCCAAGATACAGAACAAGGGGGTGAGCTTGGGGGGAGAGTCATGTCCTAGTAGATAGCTGGACCTGTTATTTAACGTTTGTAATTAAAACAGTTTATATTGGCACAAGGATAAGCAAATACACCAGTGTACCAGTATTAGGAAAAAAAGTATTAGAAAAAAATATAGGAGAATATCTTGACACAAAAACACAACTATAAAGTAATGTGGATAAATTTGATTAGATTAAAATTAAGAACTTCTCTTTTTCAATAGACACCATAAAGAGTGAAATACAAGCCACAAACTGGGAAAAAATGTTGCAACAGAGCAACAGATATAACCACCAAAGGTTTAATATCCAGAGTAAAGAACAGGAAGCTTAAATGGAGATAGATAGATAGATAGATAGATAGATAATACACACAACGTATATATGCACACAGACACATATTTTAAATATATATTTATGTATAATACACACAACATATATATGCACACAGACACATTTTAAATATATATTTATGTATAATATATATAAAATGTTCATCTCAGTAATCGAGATGCAAATTAAAACCACAATGAATTATCATTCACACCAGGCAAAAATTTATGGAAGTACTTAACACCACATGTTGATAAGGATGTGCAACAATGAAGATTCTTATTCACTGTTGGTGGGAATGTAAATTGGTATAATCACTTTGGAAGACAATTTGAGGTCATCTTGGAAGTTGAATGTGCGTGTGCCCTATGACACAGCAGTTTCACTCCTAGATAGATATACCCTAAAGAAACTCTTAGATATGTGCACCCAGGAGGCATGTAGTGTGATTAGGAACAGTTTATATTAGCAAAAAACTAGAAACAACCCAAATGTGTTTCAAAGGAAAAAGGATAAATTGTAAGATACGTATAGAGTAGAATACTGTACAGCAGGGAAAATGAATGAATTAAAGCTATATACATCAACATTGATGAATCTCAGACACGCAATGTTGAGAGTGAAACAAACCGTGGACAGTAACACAATTTACATAGTGTTTAGAAACAGACAAAATGCAATGAAATATTTAGCTCTGGCACATAATAAATGCTATAGAATTGGCTAAAATTATTAATATTAATGGACATATGTAGGAATATATAAAGAAAAGCAAGAGTGTGATAAACACAAACCTTTTATTGGTGGTCACTTCTGGCAGAGAAGCAGGGCATGTGATCGTTTAGGAATATACAGTCATGTGTTACTTAACAGTGGGGGCACGTTCTGAGAAATGCACCATTGGGTGACTTCATCGTTGGACAAACATCACAGAGTGCACTTACACAAACCTAGATGGTATAGCCTTCTACAAACCTAGAGTATACAGTACTAGTCTTATGGGACCACCATTGTGTACAAAGTCCATTTACCAAAGCCTTATTCTAAGCACGTGACTGTGCTGTGGCTTTCAGAGATACTGGCAGTGTTCTTAAGCTAGGTGGTGAGCATGTTGTCCTTTTTATAAATTATTCTTTCAGCTGCACATATATATTAAATATCTTCTTTTGTCTGTATGAGTATTTCACAGTACAGACTATTTTTGGAAATGTGTTGAAATGACAGCTGAACTTTTTGTATCAGCTTGGTAGTCACATCTTTCACTTTTACAATTTAAAAATGGACACAGGCTATAAATATGTTGTGCTACCCATGAAAAGCCACAATATTCCCCTTTCCCTCTTTGAAAACACCTCTGGCTTTTGCTTGAATCATTGCCTTCCAGTCTTTGTTAGATTGTATTAAAGTAGGGAATAAATAAAAATAAAATAATCTAAAGCAATGCAGTGAAAAACTGGAAGATAAGAGAAATTACACTAAACTAAAAATATAAGCCTTCTCCTGCCCACCCTGTTCTTGCAGATCATGATACTCATCCAGGTATTGGCCTTTTTTGTATTGCTATAAGAAATGCAAATTTTTCTGTATCTCTAGTCATCTTATTAGGCATTTAATAGAATAATCTTCCCAAGGTGTAATTTCCAGAGGTTAGCTGTAACTCCTGGAAGGCTGAACTATCTGCAATGCAGTTTGTGTAGCAGTTTTTTCCAAAAGTCAGGTACACCAGCTTTATCTTGTTTACTGAAGGGGCCTTCTGCTCATTTGCCTTTGTAATTTGACAGCTCTTGCCCTTCAGATCTTTGGTTCACTAAAGATAGGTACATGTAAAGTGTAGGGAAACTTTTTAATTTGTTGCTGATTTGCCACCGGTGGCTCTAGGCATTTCACGTGGGTGTTACCAGGCCCAAGGAGCATAGGCCAAAGAAGAAGAGGAAGGAAACAGAAAAGGAGGTACCGAAAGAGTGAGATTGTGTCTCTTGACACTTGTTCCAGGAATAGAGATGGTCTGGTTTTGCTCTGAGACCTCTGAGTGTCATGCAGAAGTCAGTACAACATGCCACAACTAGAAGGACCTGCAACTAAGATATACAACTATGTACTGGGGGGGATTTGGGGAGATAAAGCAGAAAAAAAAAAAAAAAAGATTGGCAGCAGTTGTTAGCTCAGGTGCCAATCTTGAAAAAAAAAAGTCTGTACATATAAAAAATGATGAGGCTTTATGAATGTGGTAATGGCCTCCATCCTTTAATGTTTCTTTTCTTCTCATGTCCCCTTTGTCTTTCACTTTTTATCCTTGCAGTATTTCGCAGGATGGGAAGGTTCTCTAGATCCAAAGTGAGTCTTGAGTATTTTAGTTGACTTAAAGAGCTGTTATCTCAGGGAGTGTAACTTTTTTCAGTTTATTTTTTCCCTAAAACAGAGATCTTCTGTAAGTTTAATTTTTTTTTTTTAATTTGTAGACACTGTTGATTCCATTACTCCTGACAAAGTACGAGGTTTAAGGGATATGTTGAACAGCAGTGCAATGGACATAATGTATTATACTAGCCCACTTTATAGAGATGAAGTAAGTATTGTGATTATCTTGTTGCTATTGGGTATTTTTTAGAGTGATAACATATATGTCCTGAATTTTAACATTTTGTGCTTTTTTTTACAAGCAAATGAGAAAGTACAGGAATCCATTAATTTATAAATAACCCATATTCGATAGTGAATTTGATAGTCTTCAAACTGCACATTGGGACCCTTAATAAAATGGATAATCTTGGAAGCGGAAGATTGGTTAGAAAATAGTTCTTTGAAAAATAACAGTTTTCATAAATCTCATTAATTGTATTTATGATTATTGTCCTCACAAAAGAGTTTTAGACATTTAGAAATTTCCTTCAAATTTTTTTTATATAATAGACTTGCTTTTGTTGTGTCATGTCTGTAGTGGATTTGTATGCGCTAGTCATGCCTTATCCTGGGAGTACGGGTTCCAAAACCCCCAGGTGGATGCCTGAAACTGCAGATAGTACCAAACCCTAGGCATCCTGGTTTTTTCTATATGTGCATACTTATGATAAAGTTTAATATCTAAGTTAGGCACAGTAAGAGATTAACAACAACAATAATAAAATAAAACAATTATAACAATATGCTGTAATAAAGGGTACTGTAGGTCTTAGCAACCTCAGCATATCATTTCTTTTCTTTCCTTATTAAGTCGAGAATTTCACCTTTTCACTTACAGAAGCTTTTTACGGCTTCTCTTCTCTACGAATACCAGCATCACTACTCTTGTGCTTTGGGGCCATTATTAAGTAAAATAAGAGTGATTTGGATACAAGCACTGTAATACTGTGACAGTCGATCTGATAACTGAGATGGCTACTTAGTGGCTAATGGTTGGGTAGCATGTACAGTGTGGATCCGTTGGACAAGGGGTGACTCACATCCTGGATAGGATGGCATGAGATTTCATCACACTACTCAGAATGGCATGCAATTTAAAACTTATGAATTGTTTATTCCTGGAATTTTCTGTTTCATATTTTTGGACTGCTTATAACTGAAACTGTGGAAGGCGAAATTCCAGACACAGGGGAACTACTGTAGTTCTCAAATGGTAATGCTGCCAACATATCACAAAGTTAACCCTAAAGGAGGTGAGGGGTGAAAGTTTGTTCTGAGAGTGAGAGAAGCGCTACCAAATGCATTTTGTCACTTGACTGGTAAGAGAAGAAGAGTCCTGTTTCCTAGGAATAAGCTTGGTAGTTACCTAAGGTGTATTAACTTGTTTAATCCTCATAAAAACTCTGAAGTAGATATGGTTAGTCTTCTCATTTGAAAGAGGAAGGAACTGGTGCAGGGAGTCGTTACCAGTAGAGCTGCTCTGTGCTGCTCCAAGCCAGTCCAGTTCTGATTTTATTCATTCGAAGTCCTTCCCTGACTTCATTCGAAATATCCTTTATCTACAGAATTGTGTTTGGTTAGTTGCCACAAAAACTATGTTCTCCTGCAGCTACCATGCCCGTAAGATTTTTCTCCATTCTTCTTTCTATATCCCCTCATTGCCATGTACCAGTATTGGGCAGGGTCTGCCTTGATCTGATTGACAGCAGTAAAAGAAGCCTCAAGGAGAGCTGCTGTTCTGGACCTAATTCTAACCAACAAGAAAGGCCTAGCTGGTGAAGTAGAATACTAATAATTAACATGTTTGTAGTCCTTTATAGTGCACAGTGGACATTGTCAGATATGCCCTAAAGGTTAGGAAGTAGGACTATAATATTGCAAGTGAAATCAGTGAGGGGAAAACGGAAAGAGAATGGCCAAGAGCGTATTACTCTACACACACACACCCCATATATACCTGCCTTAACACACACATGTATATATATGGTTGGTAGCACTCCTACGGAAGGTATCCTGAATGTTCAAGGCTGAAATGTGCTGAGGCATGAATAATAATAAGGACCTTTTTTTTTTAAGTTATAAGTTGATATTAACAGCAAGAAAAACTAGAAAGAGGCAAGTGTCAGACTTAAAGCTCTGGCTGTTAGCTAATGATGACTGAGAAAGTGGTCACTTTCTGTTTTGCTCTTATATCTTCAAAGATAATTATCCTCGGAATGGAACTGAATAAAACAGATATTCAGTAGGAAGAGGGAACTGATAGCTAAGGTAAACAAAATGGAAAGAGAACACCCAGTGTTTTAAATGAGTTTGTTTGTTGATCCAGTTGCATTTCATGGAAAAACTCTGAACTTGTGACCAAGATTTTTTAGTAATCTTTATCAGTGTTTCCCAAACATCCCTAATTAGAAGTTACCCTGAGTACTCATAAAAATGCAGGCAAAAAGAGAACCCTGTGGGGGGCTTTGGAATTGAGGATATTAATGTGAATTTATGATTTTGAAAATATGTGAGTGTGTATAGATATTATCTATATATTTATATGTTTATATCCATATATATATTTACTACCTCTGTCCACTGAGAGAGCCAAGAAGCAAAGACACCCCGGTCTAATGAGCACACCTGGCACCCAGATCTTTGCCTCTAGCACTGTTACTCTCCACTAAGAACTAGAGTTCCTCGGAAAAGTGGCTGGTTCCAGGACTAGCGCAGAATGGGTAAAGGTGAAAGAAAAGAATGTTGGGGCAGACCACAAGGACACAGGAGCCAGATTGAAGAAGCAGATCCCACTGACCAAATCAGGAACAATTTGAGCACCAAAATAATTAAGTAATTATTATTACTTAAGGAATTATTAGTGGTACCTTTAATAGAGAATTATTAAGGATAATATAATGAGCTATTCTGAATCACGGAAAAGTTAAAAGTCCATGTCGATTTTAAGTACATTAACAAATGAGGGAGAAGGGAGGTCCCTTGCTTACAGTAGAATACCAAGGGCTTACTGGTAAATATGGAGGGAATACTGGAGTTAGAAGGTCCTCTTTTAACAGCTGTCATGGTAAGATCAGGTAAGAGAGGACTGGGCAAACATCAATGAATGCTAAATTGAGGGCAAAATGTTGATGTACAGAATATTTGCATGGTCTTAAAGTGTCTCCTCACAGACTGCTTATTAGTTAAAAAAATGAGAAAAGATATACAGTGGAGAAAGCAGGCAACACATTTACTGAGTGTTACTGAGGGACACCAAGAGAAGGAGACTGTCATTTTATGCAGTATTTCAATCATAAGGGGACGTCAGACAGACACAAAATAAGGGAGTTCCAATAAAAAAGGAAGAATGGGACTCTGTTCTTTTAAAATGTCAATATGATAAAAGACAAAGAAAGGCTGTGGAAAATGTTCAAGATTAAAGGAGGCTGAGGAGGTGTGCCAGCTAAGTACAGCGTCTCATCCTAGGCTGCATCCTGTGCTGGACGGAGAGACACCAAAAGGGGTTTATTAGAGCAATTAAGGAAATTAACATGTGGATGACAGATTCAATTGGATGAAATATTATATCAAAGTAAATTTATGAAATTGATAACTACACTATGATTATGAAAGGGAATATTCCTCGTCTTAGGAAATACATGCTGGCGTATTTAGGGGTAAAGGACCATAAATTACATAACTTATGTAGGATATCCTCAAATGGTTCACAAAGTAGTTGTGTGTATGTGTTATAGTAACAGAACAAATGACGAAGCAGCTAGGATAAATTGCTAAAAATAGGTGAATCTTGGGTAAAGGGTATATGGATGATTTTTATACTATTTCTGTTTTGCAATATTTTATAAATTTGGAATTATTTCCTAATAAATGTTAAGAAAAGGAAACCAAAAAGAAGAATTTCCCAGATCCCTTCCTTGGAGATTGCAGTTCAGTAGGTCTGAAGTAGACCCTGTGAATTTGTGTTTTTGACAGTTCCCTAAGTGATACCATCCAAGAAGTTTGGGAAACATCACTTAAGGCGTTTGAAAAACAAAAGAAAAACTTTGAGAGAAGTGGGCAAAAATTGTTCTTTTTTTATAAAAAGGAAAGCTGATTCTACAAATCACAGTCCATTTAGCACAAGGTTGATGTTAGGCAATATTCTAGAATAAGTTATTTTTAAACAGTATATGTTTCCTTAGAGAAGCAGTGATAACAGGCAGCAGGAGTCCTTTAGGATTGTCATGCCTGGTGAATGAACATTGTTTGGTTTATTGGATAGACATAAAAAAGAGCCTTTTTTCCCCTTCCTCTCAGCCTTTGGAATCAAATAGATGCAGATTCAAAACCTACCACTTCAGGCACAGACCTACGCCACTTGTCTGTCAGTAGCCATGCTGTGACAGTGGCTCACATACAAAAAGAGGAAGGTTGGCAACAGATGTTAGCTCAGCAAAAAAGAAACACCTACCGCTTAACCAGCTATGTGACCTTAGATCGAATTTCTCAGCTTCCTGACTTATAAAATGGGCATACAATACCAACCTGATAAAGGTTGCCATGAGGATTGAAGACATAATGTATATAAAGTTCCCAGTACAATTCCTCATCCTTAGATTCTCAAGTTGTGATTAAGTATCGGTCTTTATGTATTTCATGGGCTACCATTTTTTTAAAAAAAAAATCAGTAGACTTGCTGTGTTAATTCTAGAGAATGAAATAAGAATCAATGAAGAGAAAATGTGGAAGGGGACATGTTTGTTTACTAGTGAAGAACTTTGTCATAACTAAAGCTACCTTAAAAAATAGAAGTGTCACAAGGAAAAACAATTTGTAAATAATGTGAGGTGATGGGTTTTAACTAAACTTATTGTAGTAATCATTTCACAATGTATACATCCATCAGATCACTATGTTGTAGACCTTAAAATTATACAATGTTATAAGTCAATTATATCCCAGTAGAACTGGAAAAAATAATTTGAAAAAAGTAGAAGTGACCACTTTAGAATGGAATGACCACGGGGGCAGATGCTGAGCTGCTAAAGGGACTCCTACGTTCTCAGCAGTTTGAGTCAGGCCGTGTGAGGACCCTTTGCACTCGAGATTATGAGGTGCTCATGGGAGGGTCCCAATTAGTGGCTCTGCCAATAATCACTAAAAAGCCATGGTTAGGGAAAAAGTTTTGTGTATTAGTCAGTACTTCTCAGGTCACACTTTCTGAGGAACAGTTTAAAAAGAGAAACTCATTCCAGACTATGAAGACATTATCAGAGAGCCTTTGGCCCTTACCTTAACCCTAAATAAAGTAACATGAAAAATCCAGAGAGAATTGTATGTTTTGTGCACATCTGAACTCTCTTTTGAGTGGATTTTTAAAATGAAGAATTATAAAGAGAATTGTCATGGCCACATCTTGCCATTGTTACTCAAAAATTGTTTAATTGATGTATATGACTAAAACTCTAAATTACTTTTTCTCATTAAAATTTCCTGAAGCGGGGAGAAAACAGAGGACTAATTATATTCTTAAGCCATATTTTGTCTGTATTCTCTCTTAAAACTGCTGGCTTTTTCCTTTTGGGTTGATTTTCTTCATAAATTTTAACTTTTGAGCAGTGGATGTGAGAATTAGAAACTCTTCTAAGTGTTTAAAAAGCCATCCAGTGCCTACTGTATAAGTAGTTAGCTGACTTGATTAGATAATATTTTAGGGCTAATAAAATTACGATTGTATATCATTAATCTTGGTTCAGATATCACAAATGAACAGACATGGTCACAAAGGGATTCTAGCTGGGAGAATATAATTGGATCAGAGGAAAAGGAGGGGGGGAACTCTAATTAGAGTAGGCTTTTGGATACAACATAGAGGTGGAGTTCTCCTTTTCCTGCTGAGTAGGTGATTTATAAAAGCATTTAGAGGTGGTGCAAAGCCATTTTAAAGGTTGGCTTTCAAAATCATAATGTGTTGGCCACAAATGTCCCTGTATATGTAAGCTATAGGCAGAGATTTTAAATGCTGCCATGTCTAGATATGTTCTAATGACGAAACACAAAGACTGCTTCTATTCAAGTATATGATTATTAAGACAGATGAAAGCACCAGCTCTTTAGAAACCATCCTTTCTGTGTTTCATTCCATGGTGGAATATTTTAATGTCACATCAGTATTTTTTCTGTCTCAGATGTTTACCCTTGTTTTGTTATCCATATATGATTGCTGGACTGAGGAAGTATTGCGTAGAGTGAGAGGGGCTTTGAATTTTTTTAATATGCAATAGGTTAATCACTGGTAGAGATACTGGTAGATCTTTTGTTTTTCTTTTAATTTTTAAATTTTAATTTGAAGGTCTGGTGTTTAAAAAAACAAAAAGATTGGGTACCTTTGCCAGAGTACTTAATTATGTATCTTTTAGTGTTTCTAGATTTACATGGTATGAGTCTTAAAATCAAGGCCTTTAAAGTAAAAACTGTTAACAAATCTTGCTTTTAAAGGAATTTATTTTATCTAAACATAGCATTTTCTACACCTCCCTTCAGGTAGATTATAAATCAGGAAAATTATAAAATTTTAGGACTTAATTGATACTCTTATCAAAGCCAAGTTCAAAGCATTGCGCTATAGCTCCCTTTAAACAGAACATGTAATTTCATATCACACTGCTTACTCCTTGAACTAGATTGACTAGAATTACATACAACGCATGTCTTAGGAGGTTGTTATATACATTTACCACTAAAGCAGTAGGTCCTAAGGTGTGGTCCCCAGAACCGCTGAATCAGAAACTCTGGGATAGAGCCTGGCAATATGTATTTAACAAGCCTTCCACGTGATTCTGATGCACACTGAAAGTTAGAGAACCATTGCACTAAAGCATATTTCTGTTGCTTTTCCCTGGAAAAAAACTGTAATGTCCAGTTAAAGTGAAACTTTTGCTGAAGAAAAGGCAGCTTATCATCCTTCCACATGATACCAGCTCATCTTTCCTTCTCTTCCTTCATTGGCTGAATATATTTCCTTAGATCCCATACATGGTTAGAGTGGGTTTAGCCAGGCCTCAGCATCACATTTAGAGCTCTGAGATGTGAGCAGTCAGAGAGAACACTGGCCTCATCTGTGTCCCTGCCAACCCTGCCAAGCATGAAAGCTCACCTGGTTTTCAGTTCGTATCAGCAGGTAGAGAAGCTTCAGTAAAATCTGATGGAGGCTAGTTGTCTCTTGAGACAAAATAACAAGATTGAAAATGGAAGCAGCAACATAACTAGTGTTTGTATGTTGGAGTAACAGCTTGCATATTAGGTACTGAAATGAGAAATTGAATATCAAGGAGGAAATTTATAATCAAACAGTAGTAAGTAAATGATAGAAAAAGGAGAAGACTGCCTTAAAATTTAGGTCAGGGGCTGGCCCTGAGGCATAGTGATTAAGTTCTGCGTACTCTGGCAGCCGAGGTTTGTAGGCCTGGATCCCAGGCGTGGACCTGTACCACTCATCAAGCCATGCTGTGGCAGTGACCCACATACAAAATAGAGAAAGATGACACAGATGTTAGCTCGGGTAGAATCTTCCTCAAACAAAAAAAAGGAAGATTGGCAACAGATGTTAGCTCAGGGCAAATCTTCCTCATCAAAAAAAAAAAAAAAAAACTCAGATCAGGGCCCAGTATAGGTTTGAATAACAAAAAAATCTTATTCTTCTGACCATATGGAATATTTAGCAATATTTGTTAAAGCTAAATATCAAAGAAAGCAGTTTTACAAAGAAAAATGACTAAGATGGTTCCCAGATTATTAACCTCTAAACGTTTCAAAGCCCTGCTTTCTGGACATATAAAACTTTTTACTCAACTCTGTATTGCCAACTTAATGGGAGTTTTGGAATATCAAGTAGATCAATGTTAGCTTTTTCTTCAGTCATACAATGGCCTTTCATTACATTACTCTTGGCTAAATGCAGAATGTATTTACAGAATACATACTATAAGTACATATAATATGTTAGTACGCCTGTTATCGTAAACTGAAATATTCTTTTCCAAAATTTGCTGTGGCTTAAAAACTACAAGCTACAAAAATTTAGAATTACATATGTATAAAGTTGCAGAGAAGAAATTTCCAGGGGCTCTTTGGAAATTTTATTGGAATCTGCATAGAACATTTTTTTTAATCTACGGAACTGTTGGCTCATATAGTTGGTTTAAGGACTATGGAAGGCTCTGTGTGGGTAATATCTGCTTTTATTCTTCAGTGATGATATGGATTAGAATAGCGTGTAAACCTTACTTCATTTTCTGCAAGCTTTTGAAGCTGCTAATTTTAATAATCTAGATATATTTGGCCAGTAATGTGTGTTTTTCTTTCTCAATGTATTTGAGTTTAGAAATAAAGTTTTTAGCAATCAATGATTACTCTAATATGACAATGTTTTCTTATTTCAAACAGCTAGTTAAAGGCCTTCAGCAAGAGCTGAATCGATTATATTCCCTTTTCTGTTCTCGGAATCCAGACTTTGAAGAAAAAGGGGGTAAGGTCTCAATAGTGTCACATTCCTTGGGATGTGTGATCACTTATGACATAATGACTGGCTGGAACCCAGTCCGCCTCTATGAACAGTTGCTGCAAAAGGAGGAGGAGTTGCCTGATGCGCGATGGATGGGCTATGAAGAGCGACGTCTCCTTGACGAGCTCTATTTAACAAAACGGCGGTAAGATGCCCTAGTCTCTGAAGACAGTTTAAAATGACTTCATGGAATTACTGGACTTCATAGGAGAATGCTTTTAAGATTCTCATGATAAAGAAGAAATATGTTGTTTAGGGTACTAAGATTATTAGATAACATGCCTAATCAAGCTAGAGACTATTAATTTCATGCTAATTACATATGTTTTCCTACAGCATAAAATAAATTGTTTTGTCATCTTCCTCTTTTCCCTTCTGTCTTGTCTTCACAATTTATTTAGCATGAAATCTAAAATATATTCCAGGCTGAGTCACTGCATAGAATCCTTATTGAAAATGTTTGCCAGTGTGTAGTCCTTTGTAGTTTTACTAATCTTAGAGATGGGCCTTTACCTTTCTGATTATTCTGAAAATCATTTAAAGCCCTTTTTTCTTGGCAAGGATATTTTTGACAGATTTTATAATTATCTGATCGCTTGTGGCCTTCCTGATGCTATCTTTTAATTCTTTGCTACATTCCTATCTTCATATATAGTTATGAGCTCTATCTTCTTTGTCCTCTTAGCAATCATCTGATCAGTTCTTAACAGTGAAAAAGTCACTCGTTTTGATAGTTAACATTATATAAAAACAACCAATTTAGTTGACTAAAATTCTTACTCAGGAAGCCTTGGATTTATTTTAGTGTCATAGAAGTTGTCTAAGATATCTAAATTGCATTTAGAACCTTATTAAGTACAATAAGCTAGATACACAAATCATATAGTGTCAAAATAATTGATAGTTTTGAAAGAAAATATGTTGGCAAGTCTTAGAGCATCATTTTAGATATAAAATCTGGTAAAGTTTTTTAACAGCTTTAGAAAATGAACAGCACCTTTTTTTAACTTAGTTTCATTGTTTATTAAATGTAAGTAGATACAAAACATTGTAATTGAAAGAAATTGAAATAATCCAAATGTTCATCAGCAGATAAGGTAAATAAACTGTAGTTCACCCATATGGTAGACAGTTACACAACTGTTACAGAGACTGAAGCAGATCAACAAGCAGTGAAATGAAAAGATCTCTAAGATCCATTATTGAATGTAGAAAAAAGGACACAGAACAGTATATGTGGTATGAATGTTTGATGTGACTTTTTTAAAGGTGTATATATGCTTGTACTTGCCTCACATTTTACTGAAAGATCTCCCCAAAAAAATGTTAACATCAGGTGTTATGAAGAGTAGGGGTACTTTCACTAATCATTTCGTAAACTTGTGTAGATTTTTCTATACTACAGCAAGTGCATTTGCCAAATACTGTCCATACGGGTTAATTTGAGGGATTAGATACTGAGGCATCCTTTTCTTCTCTATACTTTAGTGAACTAGTGAGCGTCTAGTATTTATGGAATTATGAATACGAGTGTGTTCATAATCTCACACTGCTTCCTAGGCTGAGAGAAATAGAAGAACGGCTGTGTGGACTCAAGGCATCATCTGTGACACAAACACCTGCCTTAAAGTTTAAGGTAAAGAAAGATAGATGAGATTTTCATTATTGATCTCAATTTTTTTTCCAAACATCATTTGAAGCATGACATTAGGATTCAAATGAAATCTTAATAATTGTTCTTTCAAATGAATATTTATTGAACACATACTCTGTGTTGGACACAGTTTCTGGGTTCTACAAAGAAAAGAATGGACGAGACAGTTCCTCGGCCCTCAGGTTATATAACGAAGTGTTATTGGTGCTATTAGCAGTATACAGAGTGATACATGCGCGAGAGAAAGGTTTTAATTTTGCCTGGAGAAGTTTACGAAGGAATGACATTTGATCTCAGCAAATTGGATATTGCCAAGTGGAAGAAAAGAGGACTGCTGTTCTGTGGGAAGAAGCAGCATGAACAAAGGTGTGGAGGGATGTAACTACCTAGTACCTCCAAGAAACACCACGAAACCTTAAGTATTGGGAACAGAAAAATAGATCTGGAAGATATTTAGTATTTAGAATTAACAAACCTTAGTGACCAACTAGTTGTGGGTGGTAAGAAAAATGAGTGGAGGTATATCAGTGAGAATTCCAGGGATGGAAAATTAGCATTTCCATCAATGAGAATGTGAGACAAAAGCACAAGAAAGAGGCGGGTGCGTGTAGTTAGTCTGGAGGGCGAGCAAGCTAGTTTGGCTACAATAAACAGGACCCAGAGCAGGGGGCTGTAGGAGAGCAAGAAGAGCTGGAAGGAAAGAACTTATATATGATATAGGCAGTAGAAGCTTTTCAGGGTTTTTGAGCATCAGAATGGAGCAGTGATTTAGAAGGAAGTGGCAAGAGAGATGTCGACATTGATCTACTGTTGGAAAGAACACAGCCTATAGCTGAATAACAAATAATTTGTTTGCAGTGTTACATGGAGTATGGCATGTTTCCTAATACTCATTTCTTTTGAATGTATGCCCATGTCTAGTGTGTTATATCATCTCTTCTTGAAATCTGTTTCTTTATCACAGGAACTTAACATACAGGTTAAGTTATGGAATGATGTAGAAATTTTTTTTAAAACAGTAAGAATTTTCTTATTGAATCTATCTCCATGATTTACAAAGTTTTTTTTTTAACTTATACATTTAAAGGCCGTAAGGTAAAGTTATAACATACATTTAAAAACCGTAAGAGCATGGTCTTTGGAGTCATCCCCACCAGGAATTTGAGTTCCATCTCTACCACCATTATTATACATAATCAGTGTTAAATGTATAGAATTGATTTGGTAGAAAAAGTAAACTCTTCTATTTCATGGCTTGAGTATTTTACTGGAGAGTTGAGTATGATCCACTAAGTGTATTAGGATCTCAAAATTCAATATCACATTACTAGAACTTATGTACTATAATTGTGTATCCTTCTAATATGTAGTTATATGTAGCCTAATAATAAGGATTTTTAATTGTTATTTAATTAGTCATAGAGAAAAATGTAGAAATCTGAAATTTAAAAAGGAGTGTCTCATAAATTGGCAAATGAATATTTAGCACTTGAGTTCTAAAAGGAATAGAAATTTTTCTTTGCCTCTTAACCAGCAGATGGATTTACTTTTAGAATACAGATGTTCAATCTGTTACAAGTGACCGTTGAACTTAAAAAAAAGAAGAAAATATTGACAAACGTTGGTCTGGAGAGTGGGAAAGTTTGGTTCTGATCATGAGGCTTTGCCTAACTAGTAAAGTAACATTAGCCAAATCATTTAACATCTCTGAATTTATCTGATTGTCCCTGGACAAGGAGATTAAACTAAATATCTAAAACTCTTTTTCGCCTTTAAAATTCTTCGATGGATTTGGGCATCACTAAAGAGGATTACTCTTACCTGGGAGAGAATAACTCCTTTGTGTGTTTGTCTGTCAGACTGCAGACCAGTCATAAACAGAGAAAGGAAAGTTGTTTATTCTGTGGATTTAACAATTTAATAAGCATTTATGAAGTACCCGACCAGTGCATGAAGCAGTTTCCTGGGGTAGATGTGTGTATGCCTGTATGCCTATGTCTGTCAAGCAGAAAGGACTTACACAGCTTTCTCTTCTATCTCAACTATTTTTTTGTATCTTTCTCTTTCCTTTATCCTCTCCTCACTTTACAGATGAAGAAATTACCTTAATCCTTTCAGAAATCACTGTTTTCATCTGTGTCACTATTATTTCACTTGCTTTTTCTTTTCCTTTTTTTAAAGATTGGCACCTGAGCTAGCATCTGTTGCCAGTCTTTTTTTTTTTTTCCCTTCTTCTCCCCAAAGCCCCATAGTACATAATAGTATATTCTAGTTGTGAGTGCCTCTGGTTGTGCTGTGTGGGACGCTGCCTCAGCATGGCTCCAAGAGAGGTGCCAAGTCCACACCCAGGATCCAAACTGGTGAAATCCTGGGCTGCCAAAGTGGAATGTGTGAACAACCACTCAGCCACGGGGCCCCTCACTTTTTTTTCTTATATTTTTAATTTTTCTTAATACAAGTTAATTTTCTGCAGCCTTCAAACATTTTTTTCAAGTAATTTTATTGAGATCATAATTTCAGGTATACATTATTGTTCATCAGTTTCTGAATACACTTAATTGTGCTCACCCCAAGTAGTCTAATTTTTAACCATCACCATACATATGTGCCCCTTTATCCCTTTCCCCCACCCCACCAACTCTCTTCCTCTCTGGTGACCACTCATCTCTTCTCTTTATCCATGTATTTGTTATTGCCCACATATCAGTGAAATCATGCAGTAACTGTCTCGTGCAGTAGATGAGAGTTCCCTTTCTCCACATCCTCTCCAACATTTGTTCTTTTTTGTCTTGGTAATTACAGCCATTCTGACAGGTATAAGGTGATATTTCATCATAGTTTTGATTTGCATTTCCCTAATAATTAGTGATGTTGAGCATCATTTCATGTGTCTGTTGGCCATCTATGTATCTTCCTTGGAAAAGTGTCTGTTCGTATCCTCTGCCTATTTTTTGATTGAGTTGTTTGTTTTTACTTTGTTGAGTTGTATGAGTTCTTTATATATTTTAGAGATAACCCCCGTCTGATAAAGGATTTGCAAATATTTTCTCCCAGTTGGTGGGTTGTCTTTCCCTTTTGTTCATGATTTCCTTTGCTTTGCAGAAGCTTTTTAGTCTGACATAGTCCCATTTGTTAACTTTTTCTTTTGTTTCCCTTGCCTGAGTAGACATGGTATTTGAAAAAATGTTACTAAGACCAATGTCAAACAGTGTATTGCCTATATTTTCTTGTAAGAGTTTTATGGTTTCAGATTTTACATTCAAATCTTCAATCTATTTAGAGTTAATTTTTGTGTCTGGTGCAAGTTAATGGGTCTACTTTCATTCTTTTGCATGTGGCTGTCCAGTTTTCCCAAGACCATTTATTGAAGAGATTTTCCCTTCTCCATTGTATGTTCTTGGCTCCTTTGTGTCAAAGATTAACTGTCCGTAGACGTGTGGTTTTATTTCTGGGCTTTCAGTTCTGTTCCATTGATCTGTGTGTCTGTTTTTGTGCCAGTACCATGCTGTTTTGATTATGATAGCTTTGTAGTATGTTTTGAAGTCAGGGATTGTGATGCCTCCAGCTTTCTTCTTTTTTCTCAGGATTCCTGTGGCTATTCAGGGTCTTTTGTTGTTCCATGTAAGTTTTTTAATTCTTTGTTCTATTTCTGTGAAGAATGTCATTGGGATTCTGATTGGGATTGCATTGAATCTCTAGATTGCTTTAGGTAGTATAGACATTTTAACTATGTTTGTTCTTCCAACCCATGAGCATGGAATATCTTTCCATTTCTTTATGTCTTCTTCAGTTTCTTTCAATAATGTCTTATAGTTTTCAGTGTATAGGTCTTTCACCTCTTTGGTTAAGTTTATTCCTAGGTATTTTATTCTTTTAGTTGTGATTGTAAATGGGACTATATTCTTGATTTTTCTTTCTGCTAGTTCATTGTTAGTGTGTAGAAAAGCAACTGATTTTTTAAAATTGATTTTTGTACCCTGCAACTTTGCTGTAGTTGTTGATGATTTCTGATGGTTTTCTGGTGGATTCTTTAGAGTTTTCTATATATAGAATCATGTCATCTGCAAATAGCGAAAGTTTTGCTTCTTCCTTTCCAATTTGGATTCCTTTTATTTCTTTTTCTTGCCTAATTGCTCTGGCCAGTACCTCCAGTACTATGTTGAATAGGAGTGGTGAGAGTGGGCACCCTTGTCTTGTTCCTGTTCTCAGAGGGATGGCTTTCAGTTTTTCACCATTAAGTATGATGTTGGCTTTGGGTTTGTTGTATATGGGCTTTATTATGTTGAGGCACTTTCCTTCTTTACCCATTTTATTGAGAGTTTTTATCGTAAATGGATGTCGGGTCTCATCAAATGCTTTCTCTGCATCTATTCAGATGATCATCTGATTCTCATTCCTCAAGTTGTTGATGTGGTGTATCACATTGATTGATTTATGGATGTTGAACCATCCCTGCGTCTCTGGAATAAATCCCACTTGATTGTGGTGTATGATCCTTTTAATGTATTGCTGTATTCGGTTTGCCAATATTTTATTCAGGATTTTTGCACTTAAGTTCATCAGTGATATTGACCTGTAGTTTTTCTTCATGTTGTCCTTGTCTGGTTTTGGTATCAGGGTAATGTTGGCCTCATAGAATGTGTTAGGAAGCATTCCATCTCCTTCAATTTTTCAGAATAGTTTGAGAAGCATAGGTATTAAATCTTCTTTGAATGTTTGGTAGAATTCTCCAGAGAAGCCATCTGGTCCTGGACTTTTGTTTTTTGGAAGTTTTTCGATTACTGTTTCAATCTCTGTGCTTGTGATTGGTCTGTTCAGATTCTCTGTTTCTTCTTGATTCAGTTTTGGGAGGTTGTATGAGTCTAGGAATTCATCCATTTCTTACAGGTTATTAAATTTGTGGGCATATAGTTTTTCATAGTATTCTCTTATAATTCTTTGTATTTCTGCAGTATCTGTTGTAATTTCTCCTCTTTCATTTC